CCTGTATTTTGGGATAGGATAAGGCTTCGCTTAATCCTTTTGTTCAGTCCCGGAAATCAGAGATGAATCGTACAGATCCATCTTTCTTGGGAGATGAAAAGTTGGTGCCGCCCACTCGGAACGGTTTACTTTCTTGAGTACTCCTGCCTCGCAGAGACGTTCAACCTCCATTTTAAGAGTGTTGTATGAACCCGTGGAATATGGATAAGCTCTGGCATGATAGGGTTTAGCATCAGGGAGAAGTTCTTACTTCGTAGTCGTCCATCTGCCACTTTCCTAAAGTACCATCGAATAGGTCAGAGTACTTCGTCAGTAAGGAATGAAGCTGTCCTTCTCTTCCGTGTTTAACTGATCTTGACTTTGGCAAACCTGCCTTAAGTCAGCTTGTTCGTATTTCGCATCAAGAATCTTCTTGAGACGATCTGCACTGTCATCAACAGCGGTAGGATCAGGAATGAAAAAGTTTTCTTCTTCATTGGTGTCGCTGTCTTTCATAGGAATAGATGCGCCGTCCCATTCCACTGACATGGTTGGAAATCGAACTTGAAACCTAAGTCAGAGAGAATATCTCACCTATATCATGTCATACGCCCCCAAGCTCTTGGTGACGTGTAAATCCCACTCGATATTCTATCTTCGTGGAATTCAGAATCATGAATGCACCTTTGCACTTCGTGCTTGGTGTTTAATTCTCCTGCAGGGGTAGTCCACATCTTTTGGACGCCCCCAAGATCCTTCATGCGTAATTTCTAGCATGAGGTTGAGCAATCAAGGTTCCGATGCTCCTGTATCCAGTAAGAACGGAGTGTAACGGGTTTTTGGTTTCCCTTTTTCTCGCTTGTTAAATCTAACATAGACGATGGGTTTGAAGGTCTCTTGTCTTGCGACGTTTACGAGGTGGTTGGCCACGGACGAGGTTAACGATGCAAATAGATCATCAGAGTCAGTTGAGAGCTTCTAGGAATCATCTAATATTGCCCGTAGTGTTCATCAGTTGCAAACAATTCTTGTTTACTAGTTAGTGAGATATCTTCATCACTTTGGTATAGAAGTCGGAACAGTTCCGTTGAGTCATCATCCTGGCCTAATCCTCAGATAGAGATTTCTCCATCCAAGTGATTGAATTGATGAGGAGTTGTCCTCATTGTCAGAGTTTTCTGATTTGCGCTTGGCAACATGGTGCGAAGTTTGCAAGTGGTTGCACGAGTATCGTCGATCTCGTTTTTGGTCGTCATTGTCGACGAGAGGAAGAATGGGTTTGACGCAACTGTTTTTTCGAAGTTGCGGAAAGATGCTTTCCTTGAGCCATCTTATGGTGAAGGAATAGATTTAGGGTAGCTGAAAGCTATTGTGTTTGTTAACAAAATGCACTACGCTAAAAGCTAGTGAAAGATCTTTCGAGTGTTTTTGAGTTTGAGAGAATGAAAGTTATAAGAGAGATTAGAAAGCTATGAAAACTAATCAACGAGAGAGATCATCATCAAGGGATCGTAGATCTGGTTTCCCGCGGGGACTTAAAATGTGATAGAGTAGGTTGTGGTAGTATCCTACGTTCTCCACGATTAAACGGAACGCGTGGAAGTTTGTCTAGCCTGGATATCTAGTAGCGTGGAAGTACTCCACGCTAGCTAAATATCTAGAGCGATGTTTCATCTCAACCTAGTATGACTAGCGCGGTCATGAGAAACCCTGTCTCAATACTATTCAGAGGACTCAGTCATGAGTCGAACTCAAACCCTATCTAGGATCGAGTCGCGAATAAGGCTAAGAGCCGTGTATTGCAGGAGCTCATTGTCAGAATACCCCGCCTTTTTGGCCATCGAGTTAAGAAATAATAGCCTCTCAGTTTCCACTGTGCCATGGTCGCCATCTCCTAGTCGAGTAATGCCCTTCTGCATGTTTCTTTCTTCAAAAAAGCCAGTCATCATCCGATCTCCCCTATGCACACCTGGATAAAGAAACAGAATGTGAGATAATAAGAACAGCGACCAATAAAACGATATCATATTATGTCTTACCAACACAAGTGGCCACCAAAATTCGGTAGGCTAAATCCAAGTTGTCCCTTTCATTGGTGTTGGTTCCACGAGCGACATAAGTAATGCCAGTGTGAGGGTTGCGTCTGTGCACCTTGACAATGGTTGGATCTGGATCTGAAAGACAGCCCTTGTCAATATAAGTGAAGAGTTGTTTGATAAGATCCCGGGCTTCAGAAGTGTTCTTCAAAAAGAAACCTGGCGAAGGGGCATCGTCTTCTGTGTTTTGGTGAGTGGTAATCAGCATTTCCGATTCTGCATCTTTAGCACGAAGATAGTCCAAAACTGCCTCCACATTGCGTCGAAGAACTGCCGGTGCTGGGATGACAGAGTTCGCTTCCTTCATTATTTCCTTGTGGGTTGCCTCTCGCTTTTTCTTTGCTTCCACAGCTGTCTTGGCACGTTCATATTCGAGTGGCTCCACATTGAACACAGCGCGATTCAAAAGTCCTCTGAAAATTCCACCGAGTGCGCTGTTGGGGCTCTTCAGTACTGGATTGTTGGGGCTCTTCAGTACTGGATTCCATCGTTTGAACCAGTGAAAGACATCCAACAAGATAATGGCCGATGGGTAAATCCGTTTCAGGATTCTGTGATCTTGGCAACAGTTGTCCACATATATGGCCTTCACTGACTCAGTCAGTGGTACAACAGCAGTGTCCTAAGGCACTTCCGCTCCATCTGGAGTCAAGTCTCGAAGGGCTTCGCGGCGCCGGTGTTGCTCCTGGGACTGCTTGTTCCTTTTCAACCTGTTGTTTAGACGCACGAGGTCATCCTCGATCTCTGAGAAGGATTCACTGAATTTGAGTGCCTTCCAGAAGACTGTTAGACCATCTTGGTTCTGCACCGTGACAATACACCGGAATGGACAAAAGCTTTTCCCTTGGCCTACCCAAACTCGGATCTTGGCAGCAAGCTTATAGTTGAAGTCAATCTTCAACAATTCAGCGGTTAGCCCCTTCATTTTCGCTTCAATGAATTCCTTCCTGTGGAGGAAGTGAGAGTTAACAAGGCTGTCAATTCGGTACTTGCTGATTACCCTGCCATTGTAACCATGCTTGTCGTCGAACTTGGAAAAAAGCGGGGGCTTCGCTGGACCATTTTCATCAGCTGCAGCCGGTTCCTCTTCCGGTGGACCATTCTGACTTACATACTCAGCAATTCGCTCCAGTGCAACCTCCAATTCAGTTTCGGCAAGTGCCAGTTCTGCCTCCACCCTGTCTACTGTGGCTTGGTGCTTTTCAAAATAGGCGCGCACTTTGGCTTGCCATCCAGGAAGCAGGCGTCTCAGTGGCTGTGGGTAGTCATCCGGATCCACAGATTCCAATTCCTTGGTGGAAAGGATGTCGGCAGCAATCAGCTTGCACAATTTGGTGCTTCCAAGACCTTGCAGGATGTTCCTTGAGCCATGCACATTGTGGTTGTCCTTATCTGCAAGCATGTGCCGGAACTTGATGTCTTGATTCACACACCCCCTGGCATGGGCCAATCTGAGGCGAAGACGCGTGGCATTACTTGTTTTTATATCTCGAATGGACTGGAGTCGCTTCAACTCTTGGTCACCAGTTCCCCTCCCCATGAATTCATCCATTGTTCTTTGCTTCTTCCTTGGCTTGGAGTCAATCTGGTTTCCTGCCACTGCTGACAAATACAACTCGTAGTCTGAATAGTAGGCCTTGTATGCACTCCTTTGTAGTCGCCTGTAAATATCAGCTGTGCACTCTGTTGCGGCAGATAGGACAATTTGAGTATACAGCTCTTCATCAACAGCAAATTTGTTACCAAGGAAGAAGCCAAAGAAAGAATTTTACACACTTGCATCCAGTTGCATGCTCTGTTTGTGGTACCCAGCGAATCTCCTGCCACACAGACGGCATAAGTACAGCATGGTGTCAAGATAGCGGTGTCGATTCACTCCATACAAAATCTTGGGGTGATTCACCCAGCGACACTTGTTCAAATCGACATACCCATTCTTCTTGCAGTGGGGACAACAGGGCACATGTCCCTTGAAGAGTCGGTGGGGTACCCAAACTGCCACTCCACGAACATAAAATGCTCCCACGTTGGTCTTTTTCGCGTCGGCATTGAGCAGATTGCTGTTGTATCGCCCTCCAGAGGGCATAATATTCCACCATTTATGACTCTTGAAGAACAGACGATGGTTGCTGTCGATAGATTCACGTACTCTCTTCACAAAAGCATGTTGCTCCTCTCCGTAGGGATGTTTCGGTGGCTCTGTCATTGTCGGCAATGATGTCTTTGGTTGACTGGTGCTGTAATAGTCGCCTTTCGGTTGTAATTCAAATCGAAAAGGCGCGCGAAAGGTGTCAAAACACATCAAGGGATGGGGTTAGCGGGGGTTGAGTACCACAAAGTTTCAGGGAACGTTCCAAGACTCAAGATTTTTTAATTCCCACAAGCAAGTGTGGAGATAAAAGTAGAGATAAAGTAATTCGGGACCTTTTTCGCGGAAGGAAAGTGGAGTTCTAGACTTAGGGGATGGTAGAGAATGCCGGGGGAAGATATAGGGATCGGTCGGGCATGTAGGACTGGCGGGTCTGACCTCCCCCCTCCTTTTTTTTCTCCTCCTGGGAAGAACCGAATATTCGGCCTACCGCACGTGGCCACTCATGGACTATCTCCAAACTACTCCTGGTCCCATTACTTTAGAAGTCCCACTCCTACGGTACACCGATCCAGGCCAGCGTTGGGGCCGACTCCTCCACTACACCAATTCCAGGCCCCACTCCCTGAATGCACTGATAGAGCAACTCCAGGCTACTAGTAGCAGGGCCCACACACAGACCATTTGCCCCTACCCCCCTGCTACAGCACAGTACCGGTACCAGGTACCGGTGCCGGATGGCCCTGGTGGAGCCTGTCCCGGACCCATATTTCCTTTTGGAAATTTGCGAATTTTCCAACTCAAAGAAACAAGAAAATTCATTTTTCAACAAAAAACAAAACACACAGACATCAACGCAATCATCAACACACCGTGTCACCAACGCTCGTTCGCCCAAGCTTGCAAAAGAGACCATGACGAATCCAGTGTCTGACCATGTTGACACCAATAAAAGCCAAACTCGGAAACCAGACTTAGCCAAAGTCAAGGTGGAGCTCAGATTGTTCCTTTCCGCTTTCAGCGTTTGGGACTTTCTTGATCCACGAAAACCTTGGGTGTTGGTCCCTCGAGGGTCTCCTCTGGGAGTCTTTGACTTTGTCCCTCCAGTGTTCCGTGAAGGTCCATGGGCGGTTCTACCAATCGTTTACATTGCATCAACTGTCTATCTTGCGTCCTTCAGCACCGTTTACCATTGCGCAAAGTATGGGTTTGAAAATCTACCACAAGGCCACTACGATGCATTTACAGCTCCATGGTATCTGAATCTTGCAGGATTTCTATGGACGCTATATGTGTTTTGTGATGTATTTGTTTCTGGATTTGGAGCTGCTAGTGTGGCAACCTTCACAGTACAATCGTATTTCCTGCTGTGCTTGCGGTATGGGCTATCAGCATTGGCACCGTTTGTTGAATCCAGAAAGCTTGCTGTGGTCAACGAGCTATTACGATATCCAGTCCTCAACCAAGCCACCATAACTTTTGTCGTTTTCAATGCCATCTTGGCGCCTGTCTGCCTAGTGTGTCTAGTAGACGGAGAAAAGCGAAAAAACTTCATCAAGTACTGTACAAACTTTCGGTTGATTCAACTGCACTGTTTCAACATCGTGTTCGCTGTCTATAGTGGTGTATGGGGAAGTCCACAGAGATCATTGCAGTGGACGGACCTGCACGCAGCCGCTATTTTGACACTTCAGGTAAGTGGCTGCAGGGGCTGCGTACTTCTCCTTCAACGGTGCTGATTGGACTAAAATACAATTTCCCAGTACGGTCTCTTCTATATTTTTATTCTTGACAGGTTGGGAATACACTTGTACTTGATAATTTCTCCAAGGACCAACGTCTCTCTTATTTCATGGTTTCTAATCACCGCAGCCACGCTTGGTCTCCATTCGTTTTGGGATGACATTATCAAGAAATACGGAGGATACTGGGACTCGTCTCTAACAGTTGCTGAGTGATAAGTCGTCGCAACATCAAGCTCGGACCAATGCCCTTGGCAGCGGCAGATGAAGCCTGAAGGCAGCTTGGGACGCTGCACGGTGCAGGGTTGTGTCTGGGACAGTACACTCGGGTACTCCAAGGCACTCTACTGTCGGGTACACCAAGGCACGATGATTGGTCTTGCAAAAAGTCTTGCATCTCCGCTGAGCTAAAGGAAGCACCCGTAGTGTGTATTGCTGATTTCCAGCGCGGTATCAACCGCATGGTACAGGAAAAAGACAGTGTCTTGCCCGAACCCGATATCAATGCACATATCTTCACCAATGCACACATCTTGTTGTAGCTTGAAACTGCCAGCTGATTGTCAAGGGAAAGAAAATGTGGTTCCTGGAGGTAGTAGAGTACCGTACCGTACTACCGGTAGGCCTTGAACTGTGGATTGTTACATACATTTTTTGCCACTTTTAGTCTTCATGAAAACATAAACTTCACCCATTCATGTAACCAATCCTTCATCGCTTCAACCAACCATCTATTGGAATGTAAGCACTGGCAGATCGAAGACAGGGCGATGCAGTCCCTGCACCACCCAGCCTCAGTTCTGCCACTGCTTACAGTCCAGTAGTTTGGCCAGCATGATGATCAGAGAAGCCAGTCAACGTCCAATGACGGGGTCACCCGTCAAAACTTACCTAGCTAGCTACTTGAGCACTGTTCACAAGCTTCCAACGTTGCTCATTGCCACGATTTTTGAAGCAGCCCTGGCGTTGCAAAATACTGCACAACTGAGCCTGGTGTGCTGACCTTGCAATTTGCAACATCTTCCTTGCCTACCGGTATTCCGCTGATTCATTGACTGCTTGCTTGGCACTTTTAAGAGCTTCTGCCTGAATCACTCTGACCCGACTCCTCGTGTACTCCCACTTACCTGGCGACTGGCAGGTAGAAAGAAAGAGAGAGACAGACGACAGGGCAGATATCCCACCACCCGCTGAATCGAATCATCAATCCTTCCACGTATCTGGAAATGTAGCTGCATCACAGTCTACCGGTACGACACCACAACGAGCCAGTGCCATTCTGGAGCTCATTCTGGTTGTACCGGTATCCAGTACTGTAGCTGTGAATCATCGGTCATCTTCTGGTGTTCTTCCGGTCATTGGAAAAACGGACGACCTGCTACTTGTGCACGTACTAGCTAGTAGCTATTTAGCCAGCAAGCAAGGAGCTCTGACCACGAATGAATGATGAATCAGCGGATCCTGTACGCGGAAATGTGTTGTTGACATCATTCTTCGTGCCTTCTGACGTTGTTGGTTGGACCAATCAAAAGCATGAAAATGGATTGATGATTCAGGATCCGAAAGCTTCAGCAGCTTTTGCTGTAGATTGAGAATATTTCCCTTCCGAGAAAACGTGGCAGAACACCATCGTACGGGTTTTTTTCTTTTTTTCTGCTGAATCAGCGGGCTATCATCAGATCCTGCAAACCCAGACCATTGGATCTCACAATTTCTACAAACTACAAAAGAAATATCCAACAACTCAACAACATCAAAATGAAGTCTGCCATTGCTTTCCTTGCCCTCGTTGCTGGTTCCGCCACTGCTTTCACACCAGAGACTCTCCCTGGTGCTCTTGCCCCCATGGGATTCTTTGATCCTCTTGGATTTGCTGCCAAGGCTGATGTCAACACCCTCAAGAGGTACCGTGAAGCAGAGCTCACTCATGGCCGTGTTGCCATGCTTGCCACTGTCGGATTCCTTGTTGGAGAAAAGGTTGAAGGGACCTCTTTCCTCTGGGATGCCTCTGTGACTGGACCTGCTATTACCCACCTTGAACAGGTACCTCCCCTCTTCTGGGCCTTGTTGGTTACTGGAATTGGTGCTGCTGAACAACAGCGAGCTGAAATTGGCTGGGTCGATCCTGCTGATGTCCCTGTTGACCAACCTGGTCTTCTCCGTGATGACTACACCCCTGGTGACATTGGATTTGACCCCCTTGGTTTGAAGCCAACTGATCCAGAAGAGTATTTGATCATGCAGACCAAGGAATTGCAGGTTAGTGGAGAATACCAGTCGTGTCTTGATTTTTTGTTTGATTGTGATCTCACCTTCACTGTTTCTCCTCTCAGAATGGACGCTTGGCTATGCTTGCTGCAGCTGGATTCATGGCCCAGGAGTTGGCTGATGGAAAGGGAATTCTTGAGCACCTTGGATACTGATTTGGGATTGAAACAAGATAGATGTAATCTGTGACAAGAAATATTTAATTAAAAAGAGATGTGATGATGCTGATGCTTTGAAATCCAGGATCACCGTGTAGTTAACCTTTGAAAAGCTCACTAAGAAGGGGCAAAATTCTACTGAGGACAGCACATTTGTAGTGAGGACAGCACAGTTGTAGTTTGATACAGCGATGTCTTCTTCTCTTTGGTGTTATGTTTGAACTTTGATGTCTCAACTGTGCTACAATGGGAGCAGCGAGATTAACTCTATACAATCATCATTACTCAGTACCATACAATCCTCATTACTCAGTACTGTAGTACTAGTTACTAACTAGCAGGTAGCTTCATACTCGAAGAGTGAGCCCGTCCAGCTGAAACAAAATCTGGCTTGGCACAGAATGCCAAGGTTATTATAGTTGCATTATCAGGTCGCACTTTTTCAGGTTCTCCCTTCTGCCACCGAACTTCTGTCTAGCAGTTCATGCCGCAAGGACAAGTTGTACTCTGTTTCCTATTCGACGAAGTGGAATATTGCTTGTCGCAACCAAGGGTTGCAAACATAATGTACTGAATGTATCACTTGTGGGTCGAACCCTCGTGCCCATTTGTAATCTATGGTTCAGCAGCGCAACCGGGTAAGAATCTGATACGCAATGCAAAGACAGCCGTTGGAGCTAAAACTTACAACCCCCACCCGCTCCAGGCTCCATGCGAAGTAGACAATTCTGAATGCAGTATTCGATAGCCCTCCAATAGCAGGTTTCAAAGCGCAAATTTTTGATATCATGACCTGGCAAACAACCCCAGTATCTTCCATAAAAGACGCCATCCTTCGCAACGTTGAAGGTTCCGGCAAGGACGTCTTTTGCGTCCCATGAAACGGTGCCAGTGCTTCCATTAATGTCATCATCATACCTTGCGCACAAAAAGCACAGGTTGCGTACGAAGGATGATTGGCATAAATTTTGGAAGAATTCCAGTGTCAAGTACTGTTGTCCCCATTAGAGTTTGTCGACGGTGGACCGATAGATTTCAAACATTCGCTCGACCAATCCGTCCACATGTAGAAGGTCGGCTCCTACAATGGCATCAATTCGGATGGGTCTGTCACTGTCGTTATCTTCTTCATCATCTTGATGAGGATACACTTGCTGCCCTTGCCTTGCTCTTGTTCGTTCTCTCCGAATATTGATACGCCGCTGCAGTGAAGTCTGTCGAAGAAACGTATCGGTGTTGTTGTGTCTGAGATGTCGCAGGAGCAAGGCTTGCAACCGCTGACGAATCCGTCAAGTGTCATCATTGTCAATCTCATTCCTTTTGCTGTCGTTGCTGTTGTTTGGACTGGAGCTGGTCTTAGAGTGGCACCTGGAGTGAGTCCAAGTACAGGTAATTATCCTGAAGATGGGTAAGTTGTCTACTACTAGATCTAGTAGCTTGGGTCGTTGCTTTCACTGTAGAATTCTGGTTCCAGTCCTTTCTCAATCATGGCATCATCAAAGACATCTACTTCTGAGGATAGCAACTGTGGCTGTTCGTGCAAAGCTGTCGCGGCTTCATTTCCCGTTGCCTCTTCTTTGGCTCCCGCGAGTTCCGTAGTAGGTTGTTGTTGTACCCCGCCTTGTTCAATATTTTCTCGAGACGCAGCATTCTCACGTCGAGCTCTGGAAGTGGAACCCCGACTTCCACTAAAGGTCCATCGAGCGTTGCTGCTGCCACCTTGATTGCCCCAACACAGGCAGCAATATAGAACTCGATTGGCCAGTTTTCCCTCCGGCGTCTGCATAACACGATTTTTGCGCATAAACACCAACAGATTGAAGAAGCCTTGAAGTGCCAAAAGACTAGAACCAATCAGGCTCACCAATATGGAAGGTATGATTCCGGTCAACAACGCTGGAATATATGCGCAGAGAAAGGCAGCAACATAGTATATCCCTTGCTGTGCCAACAGCTGAGACCGTCTTCTATCGAGGTTTGCTTGTGAGGTCGTCGATACGCCGGAACTGAGTCTTCGTGGCATCGTCGAAGGTGTGTTTGATGCTGTTATTGTTGCTGTTGTGGAAGATGTAAACAGGTACCGTGAATTGCGTTGTTCCAGTTTTCTATCAGCACAGTATATGGAAATCATAATGGATGCGGTTGTGACAATCACTAGAAAAACCGGTAGAATCATCAAGGCAACTACCAGTAGAGCTGCATGATGTCCTCGTGTGCATGGAGGATCTTCAGGACCAAATTCACAATTGAACGGATGAGGGGCAATCCAGCAAGCTTCGAGAGCATTGTTGTATCCTTGAAGTGGCAGGGGTACAACGGCAGTGACAAGGGCCAGGATGCCACAGCCTGGGTAGATCCATCGTTCCAGTTTCTGCAAATGACAATTCCGGTAACTGTACTTGACAATGAGCAAATAGAAAGTAGCCAACGTCAGATTGAAGGACAATGACGCCACCAATCCCAGTTGCAAAAAGAACCCCTGCGCTGTGCAAGTTCCAATAGTGCCGACGTTGGTGCCTTGCAGGTAGTCCAAGTCCCTGGGCGATGGCCAGGTCGTCAAAAACCAGCCAATTGAGAAAACGACATCACTCAAGCTGATCGCCAAGAGAGCTTTGGCAATGGGAGGAGTAGAGCGACTGCTTTGTTTGGCGTCCAACAAGACTTCTCGAATGATCACGTGGGAGCTCACCAGCGACAGAAAAGCCGCCACTTTGGGGACATAGACATTTGCCAGATGGATCGGATCCTGCTTCGACGCCATATTGTTGCTGTGCACTGCTGCCTCTGATCAAACCTTTCAGCCTTTCAGCCTCATACCTTTACAGTATAACGGCAAGACCTATTTGGCTTGTAGTAGCTATAGAGAGTCGAGTCATACAGCGGGTGTCTTCTTTGGTGTTCTAAAGGCTCCGTGGGATGAGCTTTTGAGCTAGCTTTTGGCTTGGGTGAAATAAATGTACACTGTACTGATGCTGAGATGGGATGGTGGGTGGGTAAACTCCGAACCCTTCAAACCAGGGTGCCAACGGGCAATTTGCCGCTTAGCCGTTTTAAACTTTTGGTACACGAAACGCATCGTCCGTTGAGTTGCGTTCTAACCTCGATCATCTTCTGCCTCTTCTTAGCTAGCTTCGCCTCGACCACCAAACTTTTCACGGTGCTTCAACGTTTGGAGTTTTCTTGTGTTGCCATCACAACACGATGCCGCAACCACCAGGGCCGCCAGGGATCGGCGAAAGGGATTCGACAAGCAAGAAGACAGAGAGAGCCAAGAAGAAGCAAGATGGAGGCACCAACCCGACGGCCAAGAAAATGAAGAGGAGTTCTGTCAACAGTCGACACGGAGGTGTAGTTGGCTACTGTGATATCTGCTGCATGTCTGGGAAATACAAACGCAAGGGGGGCATGGTGCTGTGGAAATGTCAGACTTGTGGCGTGTGCGTCCATGGTCACTGCTATTCAGGACTTGATGATCCACGAAGGAGCAAACCACGGCCTGACTTTCAATGTCGACCATGTCAGGCTGTCGGGAAATCATTCAAAGTTCGAGAAATTCAGCCACTGACAGGAGATCGGTTGGTGGTGACACAGGATACGCGGCCCACGGAGTGTTGCTTGTGCTCTGTCGACGATGGAATCCCGCACGCAATGCATCCAATCTATGATCATCACGGACCCAAGGGACGACAAATCTACCTTCCCAAAAGCGAGGGGAAACCACGACGATTGGCGTGGGCGCATACTTTGTGCTGCCAAATTGCCAGTAGGTCCGGATCCGTTTGTGTCTACGCTTGCCTGGAGGATGGATCCTACGATGCTGATGAAGACGAGGATAGTGATCTCTTGTCGGATGATGAATCTGATAATTCAGATCTGGATTGTGAGGAAGGGGACGAGCTGGGAATTGGACATTGGGTCTATTGGGGCTTCTTGCACCAGCAACTCGGAAAAGCCAAAAGCCATGCAGATCCCTGGACAAAGCAATTGCACAACCAAAAGATGGAAACTTCAAACTGTATCTATTGCGGCAAAAACGACAAACAGATGGTAAAATTGAACCACCACGCCGTCTATCAATCGCTAAGAGTACCTCTCCAATGCACTGCCAACAACAGAGATAAGAATCAAATGGAGCACCAAGCATTCCGAAAGACACATGAAGTTGGTGACCCTTGCTGCCAACCACTGCATCCTGGATGTGCCATGTGGGGTCGCAACGACGAGGGTGAATACAGCAGAGCTCGACGGGCATGGTTCCTCCCTGGACTGACAGGAGAAGAAGAGGATGTCATGGAAGTCTACTGTAACTTGCATGCTCTTGATCTGTTCAAATCACACCAGCCAGGATGTGATATGGAAAAGAAACTCCGTGGACCTTTTTCAAAGATTGCCGGGACGCCAAGAAGGAAGCAATCAGTCATGCTGAGAAGTGCACCAGCTGAGGCAAACGCATTGCCTGATTTTGATTCTGAGTCAGAGTCCGAGGAAAATGAAGCTGTCTTTGATGACATGAGAGTGATTCCAAGATTTCCACCATCTGGCCAGGCAGTACCTGGTTCGGCAAAGAAAAATACAGGAGCAAGACTTTCATTCATTCACCAGCAAGCAGTGCAAAACATAAAATGGTGCGCAAACTGGCAGTGACAAAGAAGCAGACAAGTACACATGACAAGATAGCTGGTCACAAGCTGGTCGTTGCTGTTGACAACAATGAGAGACGAATACAAGAACGGCTGAAAGCTGGAGAGGCTATCCAGATACGGACCAAGAAGCATGGAAGGCTTGTGGCACAACGAAACAGCAACACAGCAACAGCACTGACTGAGGCTTCAACAACAAAAAGCACACCAGCACATGAGGATGACAGTGGGCTGCAGTTTGCACAAAGTGTGCTTGATGAATTGTGGAAAGTCAAGGCACAGTGCAACACCAAAGGAAAAGCTTTGAATTCAACTGTAACTGCAAAGGTCCGAGTGAAGCAACTGAATGCTTATGATGGTGACCTTGATACCTTTCGTTGGAGTTGGGGGGAAGCCATGTCTGCATTGGATAGTGGCATTCACATACTTGAGAATTCCCTTCAGAAGCAGATTATAGCATCAGGTATTGAAGGGGACAATGCTTCATACCAGCAACCAGAACAGAGGAGCAATACTGGAGATTTTTCATATGGCGGCAACCCAAATACTCTGCCAAAATCTTTGCATGGATCAAAGCAAGAAGCCGTTGCAAATACAAACACTCAATATGAGTTAAATCAGGGTGATCGCAGTGTGCCTGGGCAAAGTCATGCCACAGTGGCCAAACCCAATGCCAGTACCAATTATGCCACTAGGCATCATTCTGATGATGGCAACTCTGTGAACAGCTGGGAAACAATTGCAACTCATATGGCAAGAGACATTGGGGACAAACTTGAGCCATTCTCAGAACTGGGTACTGTGGAGGAGCAATTACAGCAGGTCACAAGGATCGTGAAGGACAGCAGGAAGCACTGGCGAAAAGCAAGTGGTCTCACATTGAAAAGTGATTTCAACACAGTTTGGAAGCATTGTGCATCCATGCTAGAAGCAAGATATTCTTGGCTAGAGTTCAACAGCAACAATGACAAAGAAACAAAGTCTGCAGGAGCGATGACAACAGAACGAACCTCAGACTCATTTGCAAACAAAGTGGATGCGGTAACAAATCACTCAGAAAGAGACATTGGTGAAGCCACTACAACCCAAGGAACCGAAGCTGCTTTTCACAACTCCTCCAAACGGGGCAATCAAAGGGCTGAACAGCCGCGCAACCGGACAGAAGGGAATGACACACCAACCATTCAAGCCAGTCCTCAATTGGAACAGACACTTCAAGAGCACCTTCCTGACCATGAACTGGTTCCAGGTCAGCATGGACTTCCAGGGATGGGCCAAGTTCATCTTCATCTACCACCACCTAGTCGCTGGTCACATCTGTTCTATGGTCCTTACTATAACAAGGCTGGCTACCGAATCAAGGAATGGGACAGCTATGAGGTCCGTGAAGTTGAACTGGTTGAAGATGGAGAAATTATAGAGGAAGATGATGCAGATGCAAAAATCCCTGCTGACAGAAGCACGGGAGAAAACTGAGGTTTGTCCGGGCAAATGTGACTGACTCTGGCCGGTGGTATCACCCACAAGCGGGAAGAGTCGTTAGAATAACCGCCTATTTAAAACTTTTTGGTGGCAAAAATGTGAATGCTATGCTTGCAAAGCATACTTTGTTTTAAAAAATCTTCTGTTTGATATGATGTGGCGTGCAAATCATGTCTGTAGTAAGGTAGCCGATACAGCTGGGTGGTTCAGACTATTTTTTATCTCCGTTTCGAAGAATGGAAGATACTGCAAACTAGCTATCAGGGCACCTACCAGTATGGGATGATACCAATCAGCTGTTCCCATGGTTGGAAGCAGCTACTCCGGACCATCACTCCAGATCCAATTCAGAGGGCAGAAACATGGGACCCAGTGGAGTACATGTATGCTGAGGCAGGAGGACCTTTGACCTTTGAAGGCAGACAAAAGGTTGGACACAAGGCGGCAAAGTTGGCTCAAGTGGATTTGGTTTAACCCTCTCTGGATGACTTTCTTGGTCCTACTGGTATGGAGAGGAATGACTAGGAACAGCTGGTTGAACCCAATTGCTAGCTACATGTACTAGTAGTACCAGAATGCTAGCTAGCTAGAGCTTCTAATAGCATCGCAGTCGTTCCGTGGGATAGAGAATTCGATTGAATCGAATCATGCATTCAGCTGGTACTAGCTAGTTGCAGCGTTGCAGCAGATGGGTTCGGATGTTCGGATCGACGGATAGACCCAGTTTGGCAGCTATCAGTTCACCTTGTAAAACATCATTCCGCACTCTCTTACACTCCTGGAGAGAGCTCTTATATTAGATCTACTCGGAGTATCATCCGCTATTGGGTATGCGTCGTCAACCATCACTCCTTCTTGCAACGAGAGATGACTTCTCGGAGCTCTCGGTTCAGCGTAAAAAGAACAGTCTTTCTCGATGGAGCAGTCAGACTTCTCAAGACTCCCCTCCTTCCGACCTCTGAGTAAGAACTTACATTGCCACGCACGGGATTTTCGATGCTGTTACTCAGCCACTATTCAGCCATTCAGCCCATGAGCGCACGAGTGCACGAGAATAGTAACTGTGACTGAGCTTCACTCCAAATTCTGAGTTGCTTTTTTATCGACTGTTTTGGGAAGTGTTTTTTAGAATAAAATGTTTTACTGTTTTCACCTTCTAGCATCTTCCGGTTCGAAGCAGGGATTCGATTCTCGTATAATAGCTTTTTCAACCCAAGAGCCCCAGCGCTCACGACACGTACATGTACTATTACTTGACATCCCGTACCATGCACTCGAGTGTTTTCTACTACTAGATCAAGTAGCATCTGGCTTCCCTTTAGTCTAGCTACTTGTAGCTCGTAGCTGGGTTTCCAATCGCTGGGCTTTGGCTGGAGTAGGTCACTACGGTACAGTATTAGGAAGATACCAATTCCAACAGCGTACTAGTAGCCATCGGTATCTTGTTGCGCTTTTGCGCTGGAATGACTCGACTGAGTCGTTTGCCTTTTGGCAGGTAGATCTACTCTATTCTAGTAGCTAGCTAGCTCTAGTAGCAAGTACATGTAATCCGGTTACCACGCCAGCAAGAAGAGTTTCGGCAACAGCAGGCCTCTCAGCTCTTAAAAAAGGATAGACTTCTCCCGGAGCGGACTAACTACAGTAGAGAGTACATGTAGAGGCCTGCATTTCGACACTCAATGCAGTCATTCATGCTTTTGAGTTGTGAACAGGGAACGGGGTCTTTGTTGGCATAAGTTGCCTTCTCATTCAGCTCCTGTCGCATGCAACTGGCTACTGGCGTTGTGGTTGTCGGGAGTCGGGTGAGTAGCTGAGTATCGGTATGAATGCATACAACAATGCTTTGGATACACTGTACTACATGTACCAGTAAAACTCGTCAGGGTTGAGATGCTGTGCGAGCGGCTGTGCTGGCAACTGTGACTGTGTAAAGCAACAAAATTAAAAATTGTGGTGACCTGTGACAGCTCCTGTGTCCTGTGACAATCCTGTGACCTGTGGAGCTCCTGTGGTGATTACCGTTTACCGTTAGTTGTTAGATGCACGTGTTGCCTGATACAAATGAGAAGCTCGAAATCCGAACAGCGTCACTGTGAATTCTGAGTACTATTGAGTACTGTAGTTTTGCCTTATGATTGGAAGGAGCATGACCGCTTCTGAGCCAAGCCTACAAAGTACAAAGCCAGATGGTGGCATAGCTGTGGCATATTGGGTGGCAAAACAGCTTAAAGAGCTGACTTAGGTGATTATATGTCCGGTATTCACCGCATCTTTCCGGTTTCTGTCTATTGTTAGAATGATTGCCAACTCCAACTTTCATTCCCTACGTACACACTGGTAGCAAAAGACAATGTGAAGATGCATGCTACAGTAGATGCTTTCGGGCGTTGGGTTTCTTTCGGAAAGTGGTGACGTTTTTCGAACTGCCTCGACAGTAGCAGCGGCAACCTGTTCCTGAGTGCTCCTGGTAGCCACAACTTGAATTCAAGATACCGAGAGATTAACACCAGGACAAGACTATGGCAGCATAATATCTTTGAGCTTATTTATTTTTCAATCTAAACACACGGAGCTTGATGGTCCACGCAACTACTGTCACAATGGTACATTCAACTTCGTTTTCTACATTGATTCGGTTGTAGTAACAATAGTTTTTTATGAGACAGCAATAATGGAAGGGACTTTGGTGTGGTATTTGGGAATGCAAATAAAGCGCAAAGGGATGCAATTTGCACGGTATACAATTTGCACCTTTGCAAAATGGGGAGATGTACTAGTACCGTAGCATTCAGCGCTACCGGAAGCTCTGCCAGTATCATCCACTCCACGCAGAATGAGTGATGTTGCGTCGAGATCTGTTGTTGGGGTGTAAGAGCAGCTTCCAAAGGCTTGCGACTTGCGTGGCATCACTTAGGAGTACTGTTTCAGAAATCCATTACCGGTTCTGACCAATAGCTGGAACTTGGATACCGGTGACTCCGAACGGGGCCCAAGTTTGCTTAGAAGATAGTTGCTCAATGTTGAAGCTAAGATGCCTTTGGCATACTCAATTGACTTAGATGAGGTATATCTTATCAAATAATCGTAATAAAATACCGCAACTTCTTCTTTGATTCTCTGAGTCAGAACCCGATTAAGAGTACTCTGCTCGTGTGCGACATCCGTAAAACCGCCATGCAAGCACACCAACACACAAACACCACTCTATTAGACAGGTAGACAGGGAAGGACAGCACCTGACTGATGAAGCAAAGAGCCAGCAACCAGCAACCAATATCTGCTTCTGTGCTTCTGTGCTTCTCTGAATTTGTGAAAAGGACGATAGGATCAAGGCGAAAAGCCATGGATTCAACGATTAACATCGTCAGGTACCTCGTGTGAGTTCGAACGACCTCACAATCTGACGCCAAGATGGAAGGAAACGGTAAGTTGTTCGGCTTTGCGCTCTAGTTTGGTAGAAACTCGATAGTGGTGCGCTTCCTGAACCTGCCCGTCTGTATCTTTGTGCGACCGACCGTACGACAATGCTTCAGCTTCGCAAAAGAAACGACCTCTCGGCCAGAAGGATTCATCCGATGAAGATCAGCCAAGAAAGAAAGCTGCAAAGGATGGCGGCAGCGCTGGTAGTGCCGCTTCTAGTAGTGCCAGGCGAGGTGCAGCGGGTAAGGCAGCTTCAAAGGGCGACCAAAAGAAACGGTCCAGTGACCAGATGAACTTCCCTGAGAAACTCATGCAGTTGATCAATGAGAACATGGCACCAGACTTTGTAACTTGGATCGACAATGAAGAAGCAATCTCTTTCAAGACGGATGGATTTCAAGAGCACGTTCTAGATAAGTTTTTCCAGGGTCTCAAGTATGACTCTTTCGTAAGGAAACTAAACCGTTGGTAAGTGTTTGATAAGCGGATTGCCTTGAGTTGTATGCTTTGCATTTTCTCTTCTCAACTGGTGTATTGTTGCTTTGGTGCTGGTTGTATACATTTTGCATTTGCAGGGGGTTCCGAAGAGTGACTTCCGAGGGGATAGCGGCTGGTACAGTAGCTTATTACCACAACTCGTTTCGGAGGGCAGAGCAGGATCTCATCAAGAATATGGGTATTGGCAAAAAGAATGACCCAGCAGTACAGGATCTGCAAGCCTTTGGTGGTGAGCAGTCTATGATTGGTTCTGCAAGTGCTGCGATAACCCGGGAAACGTTGGCGAGGAGTGAAGGAACAATGACTGCTGCATCAGCGTCCTTTGGGCACAGCCAGCTCGACGGACACTTTCTGGAGACATCCATGGGCAGACCGCAACCGGCAGAACCAACTCATAGGGGTGGGGCAGCAACACTAGCAGCGTTGCGCTCATCCTCGGGGTTGGCACCGTCGCCCGCCAGACAAGAGAGCAAAACTGAGGCAGCCACCAGTAGCAACGTACTGGCTCAAGCAGGGCTGTCGGGACTTGACTCCCAGCAGATGCTGCTGGAAGCCATGCTGGCAAGGCAGCGCCAGGCAGACGTAGCAGCCCTACAAGAGCGAGAAGCCGCAATGCTGGCTGAGAGTATAATGCAGTCTCGGCAGCAACGTCGAGCTAGTGCTGCTATCTCCTCGGCATTCGCTAGTCGAGACGATGACTTATCCCGAAAGCTTGCAGCTTTAGCGGCTGCATCAGCTTCTCGACAACCACAACACCATCAACCACCCCCACAGCCACAACTGAACCCGTTTCCGCCACCTCAACAGCCTCTTCTGCCCGACCTCAACGCTGCGCTCAACGCGGATCCTGCACTCGCACTACTTCTTCAGCAACGTTTGCAGGCATCACAGGCAGGTCACAGCACCGTTGGGAACCTCAACCTCCTGGGTGGGGCAAATCTACCTACGAATTTCAACCCTCTTGGAAACATCGCAACAAATGCCAACCTAGCTTCAGGAAACCTCAATCGGAACATACTACAAGGGAATCTGAATCTTCTCGCCAGTGCTGTCTCCAATGCAAGCAACAGTGCACAGGGGAATCGAGACTTGGAAAATTTATGGCGATTGATGCTTCAAAATAGACAGCGAGATCAGAATAGACAAGGGCCGGGCCAAGACCAAGGACCAGGGCCAGCGGGAGGTCCAGGCCAAGGACAAGGACCCCCTCAGCTGTGACATCAGGCCCCGCAACGCATGTATACAAGGACCCCTCGCAATTGAAACACAAGTGCACACAACCAAAGACAAATACGACTTTACACCACCACAGAGAGTCAAACACACAATACGACTGTACCTGCCTGCGCACAAAATATGCTTGTGTAAAACTGTTCATAACGAATTGGCGCTACAGTGTACAAACATACCAAATAAATTAAGCTTGCAGCCTAGCCTGAACTTAGTTTCTAGTCTGTTTTATTGTTTGGTTTTGATGACGCCTTGGTTGCAAGCTGACCACAGGCTGCGCTCTCATCATCGCCTCGGGTCGTGCGTACGTAGCACAACATGTCTTTACCGACTAAAATCTTTTGAAAAGCTAAGATGCGCCCATTCGATGGTTTTCGGTAGTGCTTAGCGGGGCCCGATGTTGCAGCTATATCATTCCACGGGATCAAGTTCACCACCAGTTTGACACCTGGAACTTTCTCATAGAAGGCATTGCAGAATTCCGCCAAATGCTCTGCGTCTTGTGGCCGATCATTAACGTTTTCAATCAATGCCAACTCAAGCATGATTTGTCGCAATTTTCGTGGCCGGCCCAGGAGGACCTTGATGAGAGAATCTCTCAACTCGACCATTTGGTGTTTTGTAGTAGGCACTAACTTTTTTCGGAGCGCATCCTCGGAAGAATGAACACTCCACGCCAGTACAACAGGAGCCTTTCCCAGTTCTTCAAATGCCTTTGGAGAAGGCGCCACTGTTGATATGGTTACCCTCCGTGGTGCCAATTGAAAGAGCTGAGGATCCACTAGGTGTGAAGCAGCTCGGACCACATGTTGCACGTTGCGGGCAGCTTCACCCATGCCCATAAAGATACAAGCATCGATGGGGTATAATCCAGGGAAAATGCGGCACACCTTCGCGGCCCAGTACATTTGAACCAGTATTTCATCGGCAGTCAAGCTGCGAAGCTCCCCCATCCTCCCAGTAGAGCAAAATGTGCAAGCTTGGGCGCATCCAACCTGATTGGAAATGCAAAGGGAAGAAGTTTCTCGGTCTGGCCATGGAATGACAACAGATTCAACCTGCAGCCCATCCGTCAATTGGAGTACAATTTTGGCTGTTCCATCCAGACTGCGATGCAGCTGTGTCACCGTGGCGATGGAGGCCATGGAATCCATCGGCTCTGTTTCTGTTTCTGTTTCTTTTGCTGTTGCCGAATTGTCCTTTTGGGCTGAAGGTTGGGGAGAGACAGCAACAACCTGTCGGAGTTTCTGCAAAGCGTTGCGTCCCATCCCTTGTGATTGTCGTCTTGGCGTGATTCGTTCTCTGATTTGAGATCTGGTCTCTGGTTCGACTGACAATGAGAGAGCCTTGCTGAGAGTGTGAGGGATGGGTTCTCTCTGGTTTGGATCGTCATTCTCGAAAAACCATAACGGATCAACACCAAGTTGATAACAATCCCAGCAGGATTTCGCCCGACCCTTTCCACCTAGAATGTCTGCCAGCTCTTCCAATGAGAGCGACAGAGGACCTGCGTTGTCAGCTTCTCTTGCTGCGTTTTCTTTCTCGGCGTCAACGGCCACTGCTCTGATGGCAACACATCTCCTACTACTGGTACATGTACCGGTACGAGTAGTTTGAATCAGACTGTGGGTAGACGACCAAGAGTTGCTGACGGGAAGATCAATGGCTTGCAGGATCACAAAGGGGGTGACAAGCCACCGTGGCCGTCTTCTCATGGTCCTTCAATGAGATACCGAGGGTGGTGGCAGTTGGAAAAGCTTGGGTGGTGTGTGTGGTTGGTGGTTGGTGTTGGCTGAAGTGTGTAAACCAAAGAAGAAATGTGCGTCGTTTTAGCAAGAAGCGTTAAAGATCTTAAACCTTTTTTGTCAATTACTTAGGACATCCGTTCCATGAGCAAGTTGTGTGATTAGACGAGGTCGTTGCCTTTCTGAAAGTGGGAGTCACTCACTTTTTCCTCTTCGCTCAAGTCGTTTGGATCCTTGGAGTGGATGAACGAAAGCCAACAAGCAAGTTTGTGTTGGGGTGGTTTGCTCCATGGCACTGACCCGCTTCCCGTGAGAAGTACAGATACGATATATTGAATAAGTGAGGGCCAAGCTTTTGTATATCGTCCACTGCTCCAGCTGTATAAGAGTCTACATCAACCATGGAAGCACGATATCGTCGCCGTGTCTTAAGTCGCCTTCAGCGTCAAACTGCGGAGAAAATTGTCTATACCGAATTGTCGGATGATGTCGGAGGCGAGCACAACAACAACAACAACAATAACAACGACAGTCTCAACAACAACAATGATCACAACCATAATGATCAACAATGCGTAGACGTCACTCTCAGTCCCAGCAAGGGCGAAAAGGAGAACAGTGCTCCCACCCCGACGTCGGTATCGTCGCCACTTCGAGCCATGTATCGAATGACATTGGGTGTTGGGAGTCAACGAACTGGCTTTCAGAACTTGGATCGAGACAGCGGGGATCAGCGAGGCGCTTCGCCTCTACGAAAGATTAAAACACCCACAACACCTTTATCGGAAACTCCGTCTCATCGCTTCCAAAACGATTTCATTACACCGTCGTCGCCCTTGTTGGGACAGGCTCAGTCTAGTAATTCTGAGTCACAAGGCAGTCGCGATGCCTTTCACAACATTTCGGATGTTTTCAAGGCTGCATTGGAAGCTGAATTCACCAAAACCGACTTTCAAGATCCGTACGCCAATGCCATGGCATCGGAGCCTCGTCGTGGTCTACATCGTCGTAGAGGAAGATCGAGATCCCGATCTCGGTCAAGATCTCTATCGCAATCACGCTTCGGCTCGACGGACGAAAGCAGTGAACTACCTCCTAGAATAGGACGCCGACGAGTGAGGGACGGCAGCCCTGGCAATAGACATCCATCCCCCACCATAATGAAGAAGCAAACACGGAGCCCCAGTCCCCACAGGCCTCCGACTCCAAACTTGTACATCAGAGTGCAACAACAGCAGCAACAACAACAAGACCAGCAACAACGTTCAGGAGGAGATCCTGCCCCATTTGATGAAAAGGAAAGTCGTCGTCGTGCTGAGAGAGATCGGATCCTGAGATTGATGAATGGATTGGATGCTCTGCTAGTAGATACACCGAGGAATGCAAACAGCGGCGGTGGCACCCCCAGCAACATTCAAAGACCTCCAAAATCTTCTACGCCGACCCCTACTAATACTGCAACAGCCACTGCTACAGCTCAAGTTAAGGCTGCATCGGTGCAAGAGCGCGCAAAGATCAAGAGCCTCATGCATGGACTCGATCAACTCCTGGTGGACACTCCTACCAATGCTGCTAGAGCGAAAAACTCGTCGCCATTTCAAGAGTCTCCGAATGTACGCAGTAGGCCGCCCTTGTCCTCCTCAAACACTAACAACAAGGACAGAAATCCTATCCATCACCAACAACAACATGTTGCCATCAATTCCTTTGCGCCAGGATCCATTCATACTGGAACTACAAACACATTGTCTACAGGGACGTCCACTAGTAGCACAAGCACGTCATCGGATGAAGATGGCGTTCCTCCACCAGCTACTATTCGGACAAAGACTACGGATGTATCAGCGCTCACTTCTCGGGGGACAGTGTCTGTGCTATCTACCGACACTGAAGATGATACACAGCATAGTCGTCAAAGCTATAGTTCGGCATCGACTCAAGGTACCGACGTTACCGAAAACCAGCACCTTTCAATCACAACTATGGATCAACTTCTGGCTCCTAGTAGCACCATCAGTAGCAATGGAATACTCAGCAGAACGACTGATAGCGGCATTGAAATGCGACTGAATGAACTGACTCCTCGCAGCCAAGTTTCGTTGCTGATTCAAAAAAGCTCCAGTGGTTCTGTAGTTGGCATTGGGGGGGAGTTTCTTCGGCGGCCGAAGACCAACAAAACCAAGTCTCGCTCGATTCGCGGAAGCTTTGAGCACCAAATAACACCAAAACGAAGTGGAGGTAGCTCGCTTCTGGAAGAAGCATTACGAGAGCAAGAGGAAGATTTTCTGCAGCAAGACATGCTTCGTGAGACTCAGCAGAACCCTTTGCATCCGATTGCGTCACTGAATCACATTGACCAAAGGTTGGCTAGCAAACAGAGTAGCGTTTCTACGCTCACCATGAACACCATGGAACAGCAACAGGAACAGCAACAAGGGAATGGGGATTTTGCGGAAATATCTGAATTGCCGTGTCAACAGGTTTTGTCCGAAATAACAACGATGACTACTCAAAAAAGCTGCGACGACACAGTGACGTCGTCGCAGCAGGACGCGAGTGAAGACAGGATGCCCAATAAAGTCTTTCCGAGGATTGATGAAGAAGTGGCGATGACACAAACTGCCCAACCGCGAGAGCAGGTTTCGAAATCAAGCGACGACCTTTCTCTTGGGCAACGTCCTTCCCCTTCGAAAGAAGGAACTGACAATCACCAGACGTTGAGGCGGAACCCGTCAGACGAGCAGCCACACTCCGATGCTTCGCTGCACTTGGAAGTGTTTTATGATGCCATATCTGAACCAGATCTACCAAACAAGGAAGACAGTGAAAGCGAAGACAATAATGGTGGTGAAGTGAATAAGGATGAGCCTGGGGCCAAAGAAATGGTCAATCCGGGGCTGGTAGGGCAGGATCATGTTGTCCAGACACAACATGTTGACATGCCAAAGCCGCTACCATCTCCAGACGATACGCGGGATCAAGGACAACAGCAGCAGCTTGAGCAAGAGATTTCGACCGAAGTCTCACCACCCACCGTGACCAAGGACGAAGAATCTTCGGAAGAGGAACAGTCACAAGAGAATGATGTCGTCGAAGTTCCTTGTCCCGTAGCAACCAACGCAAGCTCTTCAACGGAAACGTATGGGTCACTTCACCAGCAGAAGAACCTAGGTGAAAATTCACTGCCTTCGACATCTGACGAGGGTCCGTCCACAGATCCGAAAGAACCCCAAAGTATTTCAAGCGGGGAGTCAAACGTGCAGCCAGTGGCTGCGGAAGAGACTGCCTCAAACAGTGTTTCGTCGAACCCACCCATCCCAGAAAAGGAAACCTTGAATTCTTATCCAAGCGTCAAAGCACGGATTAAAGCTCTCTCGGATACGCCGGTGCAGGCATCGCCAGACTTCAAGTCTTTATCGCATGAACATCTTTCGAATCACGACAGCGCCCAATCGTCAACCCCAAGCAAGTCTCTGCACTCATCAAGTCTCGCATCTGTTGATGGACAACGTGAATCATCCGCTGCTGATATACATTCGAGATCAAGCACTGCAGATACACAAGAAGCTATGTCAGTTACTGTGGCTGGATCTTCATCGGGAAACGCGACTGGAGCACCAGAGCAAGGACCTGCTTCTGCTTCCATTGAAGTGCACAGCCATGCATCCCAGAGCCACACATGTCAGAGCCACGCATCTCAGAGTCATGCATCTCAGAGCCACGCATCTCAGAGCTATGCATCCCAGAGTCACGTATCCCAGAGTCATGCATCTCAGAGCCACGCATCTCAGAGCCATGCATCTCAGAGCCACGCATCTCAGAGCCATGCATCTCAGAGCCACACATCTCAGAGTCACAATCACCAGTCACAGAGTTATGTTTCTCAGGGTCCTGAACACGTGTCAATGCAACATTCATCCCATTCATTGCCTTCACATCCGCAAAATGGTGCTGCAGGCCCCAACAGTTCTCTGGAACAAGCTAACACGGCAACGAATGCTGCGTTGGCGTTCTCATGTGGCCTTGAACAAAACTTTCACCAGCCCGGTAGTGTGTCCCACATATTGCCCCCAGGGTACATTGATCACGATCCGAAAGATGCAAACCACTCAGTACCAAACCAGGGAAATCCCAATGCAGCACACCTGTACCACGGACACCCAGGCTACGGGTTGCAAGCTATTCACCATCAAAGTGGAGCGCAGGGAACTATTCAACACGCCTCAGGTGCACATCATCACCCATATTCGAATGCACAACATTATTTCATAGGTCAAGGCCATGTACCCGAGCTGCATCCGACTCACCACAACCATCAGCATTTGATTGGAAACACGGGTCACGCTGATCACAATCATGCAGGCAGTGGGCACCCTGCTGTTGGGGTGACAATGGCCCCAGTCCTTCCGCCTCCTCGACACTACAAACCAAACATACCGCCACGGCCCACGTCCTCCACCACCACGACCATGCCGTATCAACACGCAGCTGCAGACGGGACAAGCCACCTTGGCCATGTGCACTCGGCACTGAACAATACGCGACTAGAGATTGGAACAATGCCACCATCCTCGCATCCCAGAAAAGTTCTTGCACGAAGCATCGAAAGCCAAGAAGCCCAGTTTCATCACGGGACCAACGAAATAGTTGACAAGAGTCTTGCATCAACCCCAGTGGCAAAAACAAAGCACAGCCGCTACCATCGCGGTGGTAAATTCCACGATGATCCTGTCCTGTCATCTGTGTCAAGCGGCATGAATCACCAACCCGACAATACATCGAGAAGGCCACAAAAAGAGTGGGAAACATCGACCAAATCGAAGGAATTACCCCCCAGGGAAAGTACTAGGCGATCGCAAAGACGGACTTTGAAAGAGAGTCGAACACCAGACGAGACGCCAAGATCTCAAAATCGCAGCAGGCACTCTGAAAGGAGAAGGTCAAGTGCAGAAGACGATGTCACTGTTGCGCAAACCACAGTTACGAATGGATCAGACTATATTGGGGGGACGACCTATAGTAGCTGTCAATCCAGCTATGAGGACGACGATGACGATGACGAGCGCACTTCCGTAGGAGGCGCCTTTGCTCAAAATGTCATGGGTATGTTTGAGGGTTTGAAATTCCCTAGTTTCACTAATTGCGTCACATCAACCAAAGGAGTTATAGAGAACATGGCATTGGGAGCTGAGAGGGCATGTTTGAAGTCTTCAGATGTGCCGGACAACGAGAAGAAATCGGATGGAAATTCAAGGCGAGGAGGTCGCCGTCGTTCTAGGTCGCATCGATCACAGAGAAAACATGACCCCGATGATGAATCCTCTCTGGTGCAGCACAAGCAGCAGCAAGAGCCAGATGGGGTGAAGAAATTCTGAGTTTTTTGAGAATTGAATCAATCAATCGGACGGGCTTGGATCGGGCGGGGCGGTGTACAGCAGCTACCTGGTACGCTACAAATCATGGATTCATATGACAAGAATCACAGCTTGAGCAAATGCAAATTGGAAAACGTATATAGTAATAGATAGACGTCATTGTGTATGTTTGCTTGTTGTGTACACTCATCTAGTATCGTCATACTCCCATCTCGCGTGGATTGAATTCGTTGGGTTGTCTGTCGTACCGTAGCCATGCTAGGTACCGGCATAATAATATATGGACCCCCAAACGTCTCTAGCTAGAGAAAGACCAGAGCCTTCGGGCCCAAACGTCTCTAGTAGAGCAAGAAAGACCAGAGCCTTCATGATTCGATTCTAGCTTTATTATATGTCACACATATCCTGCTCCACAAACTCCACAAACTGTGCACTGCATGTATTACAAACACTATGGCCATACAATCAAAGCTCATTGCCTCATGTCCGAACCACCTAGAGGAGAAGCAATCGAAGAGGGCAACCGTGAGATACATCTTGTCTACAAGGCGAATGAATACCGTACCACGACGCTTCATCGGTGAACGTACCATCCCGCGGTCGGTATTGATCGGCATCAGCACTCTGAACTTCACTGAGCTCTAGAGTGCGCAGGTTTCTGATTTCCAGACCACCCTGAACCTTTCGATCCGCTTGAAATCGATACCTTCCTGGTGTCCAGTCCAAGCTGGTGACCCATCCATTTCCATCAAAGGCGGCTGGATCCTGCTGCATTTCATATGGGAACAGAATGGTAGCTCCGCCGTCCAAATCCAATAACATGTATTTCCCAGCCTGATCTTCCGAACCAACCGGTGGTGGATCGTAGAGTCCTCCCGGTGCCCCAGGTGTTCCATAGAAAACATTGTCAATGGCCTGATCCGACGCGGAGGAGAGATCCTGACTCTCGTCGTCGTCACTACTAGCATCACTATTGGTGGGTGGCCACTGTTCCAGCATTTCTCGGCAGACGACCATGGATTTGAGGCACAAGGGTGGTGCGACAGCATCATCTTGACTGCTGCTCTTTAAGAATTCCTCCTTGGCATCCTCTTGAATGCGATAATCCAGTTTGACACGGAAGCGTAAACCACTGTCCAGAATCCCCATTTCTGCCCTATACTCGGCAAAGGGCCCTTGCATACCATCTACCTCATCATCGTTACCAAGAGCGACACAATTGCAGATTGTATATGCCGCTCCCACGCACATGGTTCCTTTCTCTCCGCGAAAATCCAAGGCACTCAAGGGTTCCGGCCAATAAGTGGATTGGAGAATGACTTGATTGAGTTCTTCCTCTGCTTGTGACGTGATTTCATCATCGTCATCATCGTCACTATTGTTTGAGTAGGGATTAGTTTCGGCTACCGTTTCGACATGATGAATGCGTTCGGCATCAGTTGGGAATTGTGAAGTGGTTTCTACGGTACTCTTGTATGCTTTGGATGTGACGTATAGGGGTCTACTGGATTTCAAAAGACGCGGCAATCCATGGACGGCATCTACCTTATCCTTCAATTGGTCCATGAATGTGGATGTCTGATAAACGGCCCATTCTCCCTTGTATTCGCGTCCGTTAGTGAGCAGATCTTGAAAGTATGTTTGGAACTGGAATTCGTCATTGCGACGACGTCTATCTTCTCTCATTTCTTCAATCTGCGCTTCGGTGGATGTCGGGTCAAAGAACTCATCCCCAATTCCCTGATCCACCTGATACTCGGGATCGGAATAATCCACAAACTCCAAGTCTGGATAATTGGGATCATTGTAGGGATTTTCCTTCTTGGGTGGTTCTTCTTCTTCCTCCTTAGCAGCATCATCTTTGGCCGATAACACTAGAAGTGGCAGTCCTTTATTATTATTTCCATATTGCTGATGAACAAAGGGAGTCTGTTGGTACTGGTAGGGCGCGAAAGCAGAGACTGGCTCTACCAGGAAGATCAGTAATAGACCCCAGATCATGATGACAATTAAATGAATCAATGCCTCGTTGTTCATGGGTTGTGTGCGAAGGAAGGAAATTAATTGAGTAAACAGAACAACCAACAGATGTTTGGATTTTATAGTTGATGGTCTGTCAAGCAATGTCTTCTCCAACTAGCTAGACTTCTACTACTGGCTAGAGCTAGTCATCCACAACAACAGATGCAGCTCGATGGTCTTTGGGAATTCTGATGATGAGTTGGCCCTCTGTTACCTTCTCTCCCTCCCACCTACATTGTTCTGGACCAGCAGATGGAGGGCCACAAATTTTGGTGACAACACTGACGTCAATCAACGAACTTTGGAACAGATCCACCCCGCCAACACCAAGAGGATTTATTGATTGAGTCACGAGACTGTGTCCAGTCCCGATATAAAATTCGAATTGGATCCTGGCCGTTCCTCAAATAAATTAGATTTCTCCGGTTCTCAAATCAATCACAACTTTGTTTGAACAACAGTGGACAGCAAACTATTTCGCAAGAGCAAGCTAGTAGTCTACTATCGTACTCTACCAGTAGCAAGAGTAAGAGATTGACAGACCATGAGCGGGAGCAACGGGAGCAGCGACGTGTGGATTTACCACGAGAAACAGGAGAGTCTGCTTTGCGGTCAGCACAGCTTGAACAACTTGGTGCAATACTGCGAATTTACACCGGATACGTTGGCTATTTTCGCCCATGAACTGGATGAATTGGAACTCAATTTCATGGCGGAGAACAATGAAGGAGGGGTCAAGTGAGTTACTTGTACATACGTTCAGTACATGTTGTAGATGTTTTGCTGTGTGAAACAGGAGCGCTCACTAATCACCATGTTTTGTTTTTGTGTTTGTGTTGTTTTGTGTTGTTTTGTGTTTTTGTCAGATCCAAAGACTACCTAGAACGCGTGAATGAAGGCTCTGGCAACGTGGATCCGCATGGCAATTTTTCCATTCAGGTGCTTCGAAGAGCTCTGCAAAAACGCTATGGTTTGGAGTTGCCCAGTCTGAAAGAAGAGGGTTACGCCAAGAAAGAGCCGACCACCATGGAAGGATTCATTTGCAACAAACACTCCCACTGGTTCGCCATTCGAAAAATAAATGGGCGCTACTGGAATCTAAATTCCACAAAAGATCGGCCGGAATTGATTTCCTATTTCGACATGGCCACGGAATTGAAAGAAATTGTCGCCGCCGGGTATTCCGTATTCGTAGTACCACCCGAAAAAACATTGCCGCCCGCTTGCACCGGCGCCAAAGAAATGCAACAGCGAAAAGCCGCCATTCGAGGGGGAGTCGAGGGAAATTGGTGGCGGGAAGCAGATCTATTGACTCCTGGAGCTGCTGGAGCCAACAACAAAAATGGCTCACAAGACCCTTGGAAAAATGTGGGATCGGGAATGAGACTCGATGGAAAATCAACCGTACCAGAGTCGCCGTTGAATTGGAGACAACCGGCCACACACGGAATGTCAGAGGAAGAACAACTACAATTCGCCGTGGCAGCCAGTCTCGAATCACCCAAAAAAATTGCAAAAACAGAACCAGCAGCCGGACCCGACTTGGCTAATGTCACGGTGCCACCAGAGCCAGCGGCAGGAACAGCCGGTTCGGTGCGCATTCAATTTCGATTGCCTTCCAAACCTCGGGTCGTACGACGATTCATGGAAACAGACTCGGTAGCCGTCATTCTCAAATATTGCACTGACATGGAGGGCGGAAAGAGTCTCGATCTACTATATGGGTTTCCACCCAAAGACTTGAAACCGCTCGCAGAACAAACTATTGGAGACGCCAAACTGGCAGGAGAAAGCATTCAGGGTCGAGCTGTCTAACCTAAAAAAGAGAATGCATGCATGAAATCCGAGAAAGGTGAAGAAGATACACAATGACAGTCATCCTTAGGTCTCGTTTGATGATGAGCTAAAGCTATAGCCTGCCCATAACCACTCTCTCATCGCTTGTCCTACCGTACCGTAGAGTACTTCTAGCTCGCTAGAGCGCTATCGGCACCACTCCAAGCAGAGCAATATAGGGGACAGAGCCAGGTCTGGTGCGCTCATTGCTCTGAGCAGCCAACGGGAAGATGATCCACCCATCCCACCCTGGCTGCTCAGTTCAGTGTTTGGGTTCCAACTGCTGCTCTGGGTTGGTGCACTAGCTACCGGTAGCACTAGATAGCACCAATCACACACTGTTCCTCAACTCTACTAGCACTAGCTAGACTATGGTTCTGACACAGCACAATGAGGTATTGGCTACCGGTACTGCTCTTTCTCTAAAGAGCGGCGGACCACCTTTGATTGAACGATACCGTCACGCACACTTGTCCGATATCTTTTTGTTTGAAACGTTGTCAGTTTTCCATCAAGCTTTCTTATTATAGGGGGGTTTAGAGTAGGGAAATTATCTACGGAAGCCAGCTTTCTTATTTAAGTCAGCGGGAGCTGCGATACCTCGGCAGAAAGACAAATAGAAGAAAGAGGATCATGTTTGAGATTGCATCCTTCTTTCAAGGTAGCCCTGGCGACAACACCCGACTTCGTCGTGTGTTGCCGCCCGGTATCATTCCCTCATTATAACCTTCTTTTTTATGTATGCTAGCCCTGGCGACAACACCCGACTTCGTCGTGTGTTGCCGCCCACTATCATTCCCTCATTGTAACCTTCTGTTTTATATTAAGCTAGCATTGGTGTAGCCACGGGCTAACCCATAAATTTAGAGCTATCATTTGATCGTGTAACTCTAAATTTACAACACCTGCTGGCTTATTGTGTTTTTGTCCTGAGTGCACTAACCTTAAATTACATTGATATATTCCTACCCCTAACTTTTATTGAACCTTCAATTTCCAGTTTTGCCAGCTTACATTATCTCTATCCTTATACCCTGGCTTCACCGGAATAGGGGATCCCACAGACACAAAACGAGGGGATCCCACAGACAAAAACCAGGGGGATCCCACAGACAGAATATTTGCCATTAAAGGGGTAGAGGACTCAGGCAGTTAACCTGCCCAGGTATTACATGTAGTTGTTTCGTTGTTCCCTTGTTTTGCAACGCTCTACCTGCCTCGATGATGGTGTCGACGACGACCAATGTCTCATGTCCATGCTGTGTGTTCCTGAAGGATGACTTGTTTCTACCGCCACTTGTGGCAAAGAAAGGGGAAGAGTTGCAGGCAGAAGAAGGATCAACCATTGAGACTGGAGTTGGAGTTCCGAGCCCCACGGAGGCCCTAAAATGTATTCAAGATTATGCCCAACAAGTCCAAGAGCAAAAGGGGTTGACACCGCAAAGTCCAGCAATCCTGCTTGTCGATACTCACAATCATGCTCATTTGAGACGGGAACGACACGATGCGTATGTGATGCCAACTGGAAAATCACAGAGCTCATCGGCAGTGTTCGTAGTTTCGTTGACACTGGCAGTCGAACCCGCCGATTGGGAGGATGCCTTGCAGTATGCTGCCACTTGCAGTACTAGTAGTAGTAGTGTGACTGAGGACAGTGAGCAATCTACGCCACTCCAAATGGCCGACAGGACACTCATGGGATTGGGAATCCATCCTTGGTACTTGTCAGAGCAAGTCCAAGCCAGCGACAATGATTGGAGACAGCGTTTGGAGACACTGATTCAGGAACATCCGTCTTGTGTAGTGGGAGAAATTGGACTCTGCAAAATGGCAAAATGTGCTCGGAGTCACCCCGAAGGCAAGGCAAGAGGCTTTGAATTCCAACGGGAGGTACTGCAAGAGCAGCTGACTTTGGCCACCAAGTACAGGCGCCCTGTGTCCATTCATTGTGTGCAACAACACGGAGTCTTTCTCGACATGCTCAAGGAAATTACGATGCAGGCAAAGGCTGAACCTGAAAAACCGCCATCTAGCTTTGTACCACCCACCATGGCCATGCACTCGTTCACAGGAACAGCACATCATGTGAAAGCTCTATTGCAATGGGAAGCTACGCTCTTTGGTGAAGGCCCAAATGACAGCAAAAAGAAGAAAAAGAAAAAGACCAACAACCAACAACAAAAAGACGAAGAGAACCACGCAATCAATAATCAACCCCGCCCACCCCTACTCTACTTTGGGTTTTCTCACATTGTCAACTATGACATGTGTACATCGGACAAAGCCAGGCGACAAGGACGAGAGGCGATCCGGGCCGTTCCTCTGGATCGTCTCTTGGCTGAATCGGATGTGCACCACCCTCAAGATGTCCCCGCTGGGACGGCTGGGGCCATTGCCTATCTTGCCTCGGCATTAGAGTTGCCAATTCCACAAGTGGCCGAGATCACCGCACGAAATGGGCTGGACTTTTTGCAGTCGCACCTTGGCAGACCCAACTAGATAGCTAGGTCTAGATGCCAATGTTGCATCCATCCATTTCCTTCCAATGCCATCCCATTCGGATGGAATCCTTTGCTCAGCTGAACAGTGGACATGTGGAACTAGTGCATTCCTCTATGGAACCTTGTACAACATGTATTTATTCGACAAATCTATCAACTCTGTAAAAACGACACTCATGTACACATCGCAAATGAAACTACCCGCTGCTCAGAAAAATCAAGATTTACATCGACTTGGCTTTCAGTCTCTCCACACTTGCAGCAAACCAACGATACAGTTCGGGCTTGTCCTCGATTGCCTTCTTGAGACCTGGTCGGTTGCCGTCTCGAACGTCTTCGGCCACTGACAACAACGCCTGCCACAAGGTAGCAACAACTGCACGTGTGGCTATATTGATGGATGGGCGAATAGCAAGAGTCAACGAAACAAGAACAGGCTCCTTTTCGGGCTCATCTGTTGTTGCTTTCTCGCTGTGGCGCTTCTGGAGCGCGGGGTGATCCTTGGGACATTTTCGAACCATCAATCCACCGTCCAGTTCGATTCTATTCCACCCTGGGAGAGCTGGCGGGATGACACAACCGCTGTGCTCGCCTTCTTCCAAGGATTTGACCTTGACTACAACCGCTCCTATTTCATCAACGGCTTCGGCCATGACGTTAAATGCAACAATCTCCCTGTTTCTAAGCGGCCAAGGCGTATCAATTCTTGCACGGGCAATCTGGAGGGCTCTTCCAACTTGATGAAGTTTCTCTGTTTCGCGCATTCCAAATTTGAATGGTCTTTGGAACGAAGGAATCCTGACACGCATGTTGCGAGGGGGAAACAAGTCAGCTACATGTACCTGCGGACAAGGATCAGCAGTAGGCGGCAACATACTAAACTGCGAAGTCTTACCAGTCGCAATAGTGATCAGTCTCATACAAAACAGCAAACAATGGCACCAACATGGACTCATCCAGGGCCATTTCAATGCGAGTAGATATCTCTTGCTTCTCATTCAGTCGATGGTAGATGATGGTGTCACCATGTTTGCCATGCAACATGCAGTTCTTCTTCCATCCGCCAGCCTCTGGCGATGTTTGATGATCGATAATCACGTCTTCAATCATTCGAGTATTCTCCAGCAGTGTGGCCTGACGTTTGCTATCCTTCAGGTGCAAGTTCCTCCTCCCCATCTCTCGCAAGAGTTGAGACACGAGGACCATTTTTTCATCCTTGATGGCCTCCTCAATGCCCACTAGAAGGTCTTGATCCGATTTGGAAGCAAAGTCCGCTTGAAGAGACTCATAGATTGCAAAGCTATCATGCAGACTACTGTCTCGATCGCCCACAGAAGACGTGTCACTGGTGCATTCGGTTGCTGCCGTTGCCGACCCATTGCAATCAAACGAGGGCTTGGTCTTGAAAAACGGGGTTTCGTGAGACTCGTACAGAGTATGTAAGCTCATTTTGTCATCTTCAGCATTTATTTGCACATTGCCTTGAAGGATTGCTCCTCTAACGAGCGATACTGGCTTGGAAGCTAGGTGGTGATTCATGGTGATCAAAATCAATCTTTTTGGGAAAATTTGTGAGCTGTTGTTGTCTTGCAAATGGAGGGTAGCCTCATTGATGATGCTCAGCCAAGAGTGCAAGGGGTATGGTCTCCAGGTTTTGGAGCTTGTAAACCACTGCAAGCGGCCATACAAGCAAGTGGAAATTTCGCCCGGGATTGGTTTGGCAACCTTGTTTGCATGGTCTGTGCCGGTATGTCCAGGTATGGTTTAGATTGGTAGTTGAGGTAAGGCTAACGTGGTCATTAAATTTTCTCGAACCATTTCGAAATCATTTATGTTTACTCCATCCACCCAAATTTTTAATGCGGTCTTTTCTCTACAGTTTTTTTTGCCCTACTGGTAGCTAGCTAGCTATTACACGAAGTACCGGTACATTGTACTTGTGTGATGGAAACTGGTCTCCAAGCTACTGGTAGCTAGCAAGTGCGTGAGATGATCTCGTCGTGCCAAACTTGAAGGTGTAATATCATGTTGCGGAATCAACCTCTCACTTGCTCTCTAGCTAGTTGTCCCAGCAGTAGCCACGGGTGTCTGCTGTTCGACATGAACAAACACTGTCTGTAGAGGCACGTGTCCAGTCTGCACCATTGACAGCTCTACACGCCCAACACATTCTAGAATGGCGGAGGTTCTATATTTCTGTAAACATTAATCTTTTCAGAGTTAGATATTCATCAACACTTTTGCGTCATGCGTTCCACCACTTCATAGACCCATCCATAAAGCTCTGGCTTGCTGTCAATGGCTGCCTTGTGAGGAGCGCTCTTGCCCTTCTTGACATGTTCTGCAAGGTAGATCAATGCGGCCCAAGCAGGTCCAGCAATAGTCTTGAGGATGAAGTTCTTTGCGGGAGATACCGTCAACGTGAAGGATGCCAGCAGCAGAGGATCGTTAAGGTTGTTGTTTTTGAGGCTGCTGGCATGTCGTTTGAGTGCCGGGTGATCTCGTGGGCATTTGCGAAAGGTTACGGCAGCATCCACCCCGATGCTTTCCCATCCTTCTGCAGCCTTGGGAACGGTGAATTCGCCTACCTGCTCTCCTTCCTCGATTGACTTCAATCGAATGGCGACGGCATCAAGTTCCTCTACAGCATCCGCCAAGATAATCTTTCCAACGATTTCCCGATTAGTCATTGGCCATGGCATATCCACTTGGCACCGTGCGATTTGAAATCCTCGACTGATTTGCATCATTTTCTGAAAGGATCGGACCCCCAGTTTGATGGGTCTCTGGAAGGATGGGATCCATGTTGTGTAAAGGTTTGTCTCGTTTAGAGTGGCCAACAAAGGGACGAGAAGGGAGGCTTCAATGGGAGTTTCCATCCTAACGGTGATTTCTTGTTGATCATTCATTCGGTTGTACACGGCAGTGTCGCGTTTCCTGCCATGCATGATGGTCTGTCTTTTCCAACCGCCTTGCTCTTCAGGATTTTGGAGGTGGTCATCTAGGACTTGCTGTATCTCCAGTGCTGCCTTCTCAAGACTGGCTTGCCGCTTGGTGTTATCAAGACGGAGGCCACGAGTGTCCATTTCCTGAAGGATATGAGACACGGCAATTTGCTTTTCCCATTCCACAGCTTCATCGAGTGCTTGCAGGAGGTGTCTGTCAGCCATGGAGCTGTAGTTGGTACCGCTACCGGAACCGGTGTCGAAGCAATCATCCCCCAGGAAAACATCCAGACTCTCATCGCGAACACTGTCAGAGTCCAAGGAGCTGTTTGTCTCGGTTCTTGTAATCTCACGGGGATCAATCTTTCCCTTGCTCCCCATCATCTTAAAGTTAAAGGACCAATGCTCCTTGGTTGGCGTCTCCAGCAAAGAAGAAGAGCAGACAACCGAGCCATTTTCATCAACGTGGCCTCCACCAAGGGAGAAAGATTTCGATCCAGATCGAACTCTGCGTGGGGCGGACATGTTTCGTATTGTTAGACTAGTTGCTTGTATCGAGCTGGAGCGAGAGCTTGAGAGCTTCGTTTTGGGAGTTGTGGGTGGAGAGAGGACGTTTGCTTTCCGTTTCGATTTTAGGTGTGAAAATGTGAGAGGCACAGTGGTCATTTTGACTGTGACATTGTGACTGTAAAAATTGTGTTGAAGTAGAAGCTTTAACAAAATGTTTTTATCTAGGTCATTATGACCTTGATGGTCACAAAGTACTACAGTACAGTAATTGTATAATAACGAACCACGAACCGCCCGTTCCGTTGCTACGGTACGGTACCGTAGGACGTCCCTGAAAAGCGATATACCACTGTGATCTACTGCAAATCAACCTAAACCAAAACTTGTTAAGTTCGTTATCTAGACCAGTAACAAGCCAACATTGCCATCCACAAACTAGCTAGAATCAGGCTTGGGACCTTTCCACTTTCCAGCCAACACGATGAGACGAGCCAGCACACTCCGTTGAAGCTCCATTCAGGCTAGCTAGCACCATGGTCCACCTTTCCACAAGAACTGGAACTGCAAACTGTTAGATCGCAAGGTTGCCAGCATCATCACCACAAACAACAACAACAACAACAGATCTCACGCACCATTCAGTAAGAGTCATTGGATGAGAAATGCATGGCGCCATGGCGCCCCACGGGATGAACCACCGGCATGCCTCAAAGCCAATCCGTCTCAGTAACAGAATCAACGTAGCCAACAACATCATAATGAGAATATCCCATTTGATGGCCAAGCTGAATCAAAACAGCAGCAGCACGGAAGAAAATGTGGTGAGTGCTGGTTGGATGGCGGAAGCAGTGAGTCAGGGCTCCAAACGTCTTGAACCGCCTGTTGACAGTCTCATGTCTGGCTCTCAATGCTGCCATGGATCTCTTGTGCTGACAGTTCCGTGCGTCCTGTGGGGTGATGCACTTGCTGTCACCCACATAGCCTAGGTCACAGATAACCTTTTCCCAAGGACGCAGCAGGTCACGGAGCCAATATCTGAAGATGGTGATATCATGGTTGCCGCTGGAAAGGGACCGTGGATCCACACAATGTCACCAGTTTTAATGCACAGCAATCTCATAACTCACCGCTGCACTTCGGAACTTGTGCGAATACCAAGCTTTGTTGTATGAGTGTGTTCCAGGAAGCATCTTGTTCCGAATCTTGAAGTGTGTTCCGTCAACCGTAACAAGACATCTGTCACCCGTGTTACCAAAGAAACGATTGGCCCAAACAATCTGGATGAGTCAGAGCAGAGGATCATGACGTTAGCCGAAAGCAAGATGGGGAACAAGCAACTGGCCACGGACACAAGGCTGCCGACACAAGGAACTTACCACATCTGTGTCAAGCCTGGCAATGGCTTCAAGATAGATTTCGGACCACTTCTTGACAGTTTGTTCGTGTGTTCCGACAGCCGAAGCAAGGACTTCCCAGGTATCATACCTTTTCAATAGCATCAGCGCCCAAAGGTAGTGCTCCGGGTCCGGACGTTTCGTGCACTTGTTCAAATGCTGTTGGAGGAAGATGCTTTCCTGTAGCAGTTCCCATCCATCAGCAACAACAGCAGGCGGAGCACCAAAATGGGCCTTGAAGCGACGCAATGTCACCTTTGCTGATCGACTTGACTTGTACCTGGCAACCCGACGGCCCAATTCTTCGAACTGATCTGCTGACAACTCCATTGTGGACATCAGTGCAGCCAATCAACGTGGGACGGACTTGAGTGCAACGAGTGGAGCCTCGATATTGTGCCACTGTGCCACCGGATTTGAAAGATCGAACATGTTTGCAAGAAAACTCCAAGCAGTCATTGGGACTTGCGATGACAGTCACCGGCCTGAGAAATAAGACAGCAGTGGGAAGGATAGGGTGAGCGACAGCCATACGTCACCCATCGAATGTGGATCTCGCTCTGGCTTACCTGGTACCGGGAAATGCGGCGTATCATGGCCGTGTCATTGTTGTGGAGGTTGATTGTTGTGGAGGTTGATTGTAAGGGTTGGATCGTAGCTGATTGTCATTGTCTAGTAGCTAGTGAGATATCGATAGTTGCCTGAAAGTGAGATGTATGCGACTGATCTGCTCCGGTAGCTAGATTCCATTCGCTTCCTGACAGTGCGCTAGTGCGCTTGCTTGCAGTGTCAAGACTAGTTCGGATGCACACAACGGACCATTCACTTGGCCAACGCCTAGCTAGGAACTGTACTCGGAACTTGATCCAGCCGGCACTCCGAATCCATCAGTAAACTAGTTTCCCACTTGCTTAGATCTCTTTGGCCATCAACTTGTTGCAGTGTGGTAAACAGCACGGTCCATTGGTGGCTGCAGATTGGCTGCAACCGGGGTGGAAAAAGTTGACACCGGATTGACCGGCACGCTTTGATTGGCTCGCAATCCGAATCCTTCGGAATGGTCAGGTCAACGGCAATCCAATCGCATGGCAGTCAGGTATACTTATATTCCGGTCAGGTTAAAAGCAATCCGATACCGGTTAGAGTCCGGTCAGGTACCGTTGAATTTCCCATACAAAAGCGCGCGAGAAGCACCGGAATCGGAACGCGGTCTTACCGCGACCAGATCTCAACGGATCGCATTCCCGTTGATTGCACCGCTTGACACCACAATCACACCGCGATACGATTGACACTACAATCTCACCGCGATTATTCAAGATGGCGATCTCCAGAAAACCTGACAATGACGCCTTCTCCGGTAAACCGGACGGCGATACCGCGATCACCACACCGCAGTCTCCTCTCACAGTTCAGTCAACCGCAATCTTTGAGCACTCTTTGACCACAAGCAATCTCGACCATGGCGACCAACACCGAACTCACCGATGACATGCTTGCACGTCTTGCCAAGATTCCAGCCGAGTACAAGGAGAAGGGCGCACCTGATGACAACACCCGCCTATGCAATTCGTGGCGAGGAGCCCTGGATTTGGACAAGGATGAGCTCCACAAGATGATCTTTGAGGCCATGGACTCCAAGAAGAAGATTACTGCTGCCGGTGTCAAGAACGAACACCCCAAGTTTCGGATCTACACCACTGCATGCCTTCAGTGCGCCTTTAGCAACCTCCGACGCAAGTGGAAGGCCACCAAGGAGAAGAAAGAAACGAGTAAGTTCCATTCGCTCACGTACATTGGCTTTCCGGTCCACAAATCTCACTCTTTTGTTCTCATCTACAGTGACCAAGGAGGGCGGCGGCGGGCAAGGCCTGAAGGCTCAGCGGCCCTGTGGCTCTGTCAAGGATGGCAGTGGTGGAAGCAAGGCTGGCAGCAAGGCTGGCAGCAAGGCTGGCAGCAAGAAGAGCACGTCATCCAAGAAGAAACCAGCACGCCCTTCCTACTTTCGTGACACTTCCACCATGTACCGCTGTGATGGCACTATCCGCTCTCACCGAACAACAAAAACAACTACTGGCATGTCCATGTCCGGCAAGACTATCGCCCAAGATGGTGAAGTGCAAAAGAATATTCCTGGAACGGCTCGCCCTTGCAATGCCTTCACTGTGGAGAAGGAAATCGGTGGTACTGTGGCGGTCAGTCAACTGGATGCCTGGGTTGACAGCTCACTCAACCATCGTGCAAGCGCTCATGTTCAAGTGATGAATGGTCTTGTCATGGAAGATGACACTTTGCAGTGTCGTGTGAGCAGCACCAAACCTGACCAGCTTGTTATCTCGATGGCTTTGAGTTCCACTTTCACCAATCCGGATATGAAGCTTGCCTACCTCGTCGAAAAGATTCGAGCTGTGTATGGCGAGGATCTTGACGATGAGACCTGTTTTGGAATTTTGAAATCGCATCCTCGGTACATCTCGTGCTTGCAAAACCTTACCCGTTTGCGTGGTCATCTCCCCGACGATGAGCCGCTCCTTGTGGAGTTTCGTATGCAGGCTCCCTTCAACATCCATGCTGACATCGTTACCCAGAAAGAAGATGCCGTCTTCTTTGGGTTCGAGATCTCACATGAAAATGACGAGACCAATGTCTGGTTTGAGCTGAAGGAGAACGGCAAGCAGTTCAAGGCAGTCACCATCGAGAAGTTTTATTCTGTTTCCAACCAACATGCTGGCAGAGCCAAGAAGAGTATGTTCCAGAGCAAGATGTCATCCATTCCTGAGAGTGTGAGTTTTGTCTCGCCCACAAAGGCGTCGGCTCGTTCTCGCCGCCAGCAGAGTGTAGCCACCGAAGATGACAGCTCCACCATCAAGACGGAAGACCAGGGAGCCAGTCGAATGGATGCTGACGACGACGATGACGAATCGTCATGGGACTCGAACCTTAGGGACTCTGAGAGCGAGGAAGGTGAAACGCCGGAGATGGAAGCACTGCGCAAGCAGGTGGCGGAGGTGACATCAATCGTCTCTGGCCTTGCTCAAACCAAGTCGTTTGACAGCAGTGAAGGTAGCAAGTCAAACCTTGCCGGCAATCTGAAGAAGAAGAAGACGAATCAAGGCAATGCTTCAAGCAACTCTATTGCCGGTGACAGCAAGGCTTCTCGTCGTAGCACTGGAACTCGTGGCACCCAAGCTCGAGAAGAGAAACGCAAGACCGGAGGAGGTGGTGGTGGATCTGATGAGTATGCTGCGAAAAAGGTCCTTTGAAACGAGGCCAACATGTTGTGGTGGCCATCCCCTCTGTGCTACTGGTTGTTTAAGTGGCAATTGGATAGGCGTGTTGTTGAAGAGGTTGCAAGTGATGAGGAGTTAGATAACAAACAAACCTAGTAGGAGTAAACTTTATTGGCAAAATACTGCTTTTCAGGCACGTCCTACGACTGTACCTTCTTGTCCTGCTTACCGTTGGTATGCGTACATGTACGGTTACGGTAAAGGTATGTAGTCAATGAGGGAGAGAACTGTGTGCGGGCCTTCATTAGTGCAGCTACTATTTTAAAATAGTGCAGTATGGTATCGGTATGACTCCCATCTCTAACCCCGAGCGGTTGTGTGGCTACATCCCACGCAATGCATACATGTATGCTCCCTGCATTTTGGATACTAGCATGGTCGTGACAGTCTTGATAGGAAGGTTGAATTGGAAGGTTAAACCTGAGCATCACAAACACCACACCGTTCGTTCGCTCTGTCGAGGAATGAAGGAAGTTTGACTGAAACGGAGGGTACACTATATCCTAGCTTGGCTTTGCTTGGCTATGGAACTTGCTTGTTGCGCATGTAGCCAGAGCGCTTTGCGAACTGAGACGACTGCATTTGATAGATAGATAGAACTGAGTCGACTTGCGCTGCCCTGTAGCAACGCAATACACGACAAGGCAGGATTTGTTTCGGGGAGAGGCTTGCTGTCGGATGCGACCTCTGTGATTCCTGACTGGACTACTAGCTATTATCTCCACCAGGATCCATTCACTATCTAGTATCCGTTAATGACCATCCGTCACTGCACTACTGTAGTGATATTTCCTATTTTATTTCTTCTTTTTGCCCTTGTTTTTCTTTTTGTTGGATGTTGCTGCTTTGGAAGCATTCTTCTTGGCAGCTGCAGCTTGCGCCGAGCTATTGGCGGCGGCTTGTAGTTTCTTTTGCTCTTCTTGTTTGACCTTTTCTTCCTCTGCCTCTCGCTTTAACCGCTCTATGCGATAGGGTAGGTCCGGAATGATATTGGCCAACTCTTTCATCAGCAACTTTTTTGGGTTCTCCGTTGTGGCTCCCTCTGGAACAATCATTGTCGTGGGCACATCTACCAGAACGCGTCCTGGGTTGTCCCATTGACATGACACATCCCGTGAATAACCTTTGTAGGGTTGTACTGCATGGCGAACACTTAGCTTTTGCAATGCATAGGAAATATCCGTTACAGTGGGAGTCGGGACAGACTCTTCCTTCGAGAGACGGCGCCCCATCTTGACTGTTTTGTTGGAGTCAATGTAGGACGGGTAGATGATTTGAAAACCCGTCAAATCCATCGAGAAGGTTTCCTCTGTCAGGAAATCAGAAGAAAGCGCATCGTAAGATTCGACTCAGAAACACATTTCCAATAGATAACGCCGATAGATTCTATCTCTGACACTTACGGATGGGCCAAATAACCTGATACTTTCGGTCTGGTTGCGGCGGAAGACGAATCATCTCATCAGCAGGAATTTGCAAGGCATCCATTGGGTTCATCATGGACGGAGCCTTCGGACCCACCTGCTTGACCCGTACTCGGCCTCCCGACTTCTTTCCCATCTTTGTACTTGGTTATCAGTTCGTACTTAATGGTGAGGTAGAGGAAGCTAAGGCTATTACTGCACTTGACTGCTTGGAATGGGGCGCCCATGGTGCCATGGTCGAGGTCAACGGCCAACCGAGATTACGATTTCGACGTGAACCCAGATCGCGCGAATGCGTCACACTCGTGACTCGATCATGTTTTGCTTAATCGACGCTTGCAGCTCTTGAAATGTATATTCCTCCCTTGATATTAAGATGTCTATAAGTTCACCCGAACCCTGAAGGCATCTTAGCAAAAACTCAAATATCTGCACTGAGAAGTCTTTCTTAGCATTTTGTTAAAATTCAGGGTCCCAAGGCAACATCTTAGCTTTCTTGCCATTTCTATTGACCATACTAGTAGTATGGTACACACCAACCTTGCTATTCTGCTTCCCACCTTACTGAACGCGCCCCTAGGAGAAGAGAGGAAAGAGCAGTGTATCATCCGCCGGAGGCAAAATTTTTTACTTTTGGTACAAGTTTTTAAGGCATTTTGTTGTAAAAAAGTGTCCTTGTATCATCTCTCAATCTCTTATGTGCCCAAGGGAGAGTGCTTACTGGCTATCTTATCTCTAGCGCAGATCTGAGTGTCTCAAGTATCTTAATTAACATCCCAGCAAATCTCAGTACTCGAAATCTTATCTCCGACTCTCTTAATGTCAAGGGAGGAGTGTACACATACTATGTACTAGTACTAGTACCCCGCATCGTTTGGGAAATGGTTGTAGCACATACATGTACTAGCTAGCTAGCTAGAAACGTCGTGTGGGTTTGCTGCATCAAACCTTCCAGCCTTCGTGTTTTAAAACAAACTGCACCCAACATCGCTTCTTGTTCCCATACCCACATGTACCTACAGCATTGGGCTAGCTAGCTAGTGCAGTTCAATTGACCCTATTACATCGTACTGAGATATTCTCAAATGATTTTCGTGCAGGTTTCGGTATTGGTATCGGTATCCTCATCCGTACTCATCAAGAAAGTATCATATCCAGGTAGCAGAAGTGCTTTCAAACAAACCATCCTCACGCTTCAGTCCATCCACTAACAAACTTCAAACTTCACCTCACCTTGCAAACAAAGCTGCCACAGTGTCTTGTAGAAAAAGGTGCAAAGCTGCTGGTTTCGCAGAAACCCTGGCCAGTAAAACTGGCCAAAGAGAAGGAGGCAAGGCCAGGAGATCTCTTGGCTGATCAACTGTATTCCGGCGAAGGAATCGATTGATATCCAGCTGCTGATTGATCTTAGATAGATCCAGAGCCCTGCTACTATTGGAACTTCCATCATGTTTCCTCATCTCCAGAAACAACAAGCTCAGGTTATGCTTCAACCCCTTTTGGACCAGTGTCTTGACTGTCATCTCACGAGTGATGGGGGATCCAAGGTAGTGGCGGTTGTAGGAAAGGTCAAGCTTTTCCAAAGAGGGGCTTGTGCGGATAATCTTTGCAATACAGTTGGCACTGTCACTTCGTAGATCGCAGTCCACAAGTTTCAATGTCTTGAGGGACGACACGGCTTCCTGAAGAATCTGTGCTCCGTCGACGCCAATAGGGTAGTTGGCAATCTCTAAATAGTCCAGCTCGACAATGGTGTTTCGTGGATTCTGACCTTCCAAGTTTTCGCCAACATTGCCATCTTGATTGTCATTGTCTCCCTCCAGCACGGGAACTGATGGATGGTCTGTCATGGTCAAACCTGATCGAATAGTTTCCGAGATGGTATCTCGGTTGATGCGCAGGATTCGTGCATTATAGTTCTTGAGGCTCAAGCGAGTGATTCCCGCAAGGCGACAGCAGAGAATGGCCGCGAGGAGGGTATTAGTGTCTTGCAAACAAACAAATTCCAGCTCTTCCATGAGAACATTTCCTTCCCGACGCATCTTGAACAGCGTTGTTTGCAGCAGTTGTAGTCCCACTGAAGAAATTCCACTGCGAAGAGCCAATTTCCGAACTACCAAAGGTGATGTTGGATTCGAAAGAGCTTGGCAGAAATGAGTGATCACCGAATCTCTCGAGCTGTGCTTTATCTGCACGGTCTCATGAGTGTACAGTTGATCCAGATTACGCCTCAAGCCAGCCTCGGCTTGATCTTCCAATCCATCCATTGTCAGCACTGTCGATCCGTCACTTTTTACTCCGTACAGCTTTTGCGGTCTCCGGGTCAATGTTTATGATGTTGATGTTATGATTCCAAAAAGACAGCACACGGATCTCTTCGGAACTCAGAACAACAAACAATTCAAAGCAACCCACGTCTTGGAATATAATCCTGTAGAGCTGTAATGTTAAGCACTCCATCCAGGATCAATTCATATGCCTCCTGGCTCGTCTCCGTTTCCATAAATCTTTTATTACCAACACCTAACTCGCTTTATTGAAACAGTATTCGCGCGCTCCGCGCGCTCATCCCTTTCTCTGCTTCGCCCCGATCCCTCATTCATGCGAAAAATGTGAAGAACGCAAGGCGACTTTCATGTGCATGTACATGCGTTGACTGTATCCCGTCAATACAATACTAGTCGAATACGTAGACTTCTACAGAGGCCTCTAAGTAATGCACGCGGGGTATAATTCAAACCTCCACTCCCCATCGGTACCCTTACCCCTAAAAGCAAATCGTCTCCGGGAGACGAAATATCGTACAGTCGTACCGGTACCCAAGGCAGCAGCCCAGCAGCAACTCCGAAAAACAAAACTAGCTAGACTATTAGTAGTACATGTAGAATTTCTTGGCGTCTCATTATTGCCAACCACGCCACCATGAGCCATGAGTGACGACAAACAACTAGCTCGATCTTCCGACACTTTGAATGACAGGGCCGCAAAGAGAAGCAAACAAACCCGCTACTGTTTTCCGGGACGTCATCAGAATGGTGCCGCTATTTTAATAATGTGTATCGAAAGTTACGCGGCTATCGCGACAACAGTTTGTTTCTAGAAAAGCTGTTTAACGCTGAGGAAACTGCGATATGTTTTACGCGTCCTATGCAACTTGGGAAAACCACACTATTTTCGCTAGCGGACGAACTCTTCTCCATCAACAAAGAATCGAACGTGAACACCGATTTGGGTTATTCTGTGGGGGAGGACGATCAAAACCATTGGTACATCCTCCGGCTGGACTTTGGCTCCGTTTGCCCTTCCAGGTTTGAAAACAATAATGAGGAAGAAGAATGGGTGCAACGCTGCAAACGGCTGGACGATGAAACCGCTTGTTGTATCAAGATGAAAGTCATTGTTCTCTTGTTGAACAATCCGCAACTCGAGCAAAACTTCCAACAAGTTTCCCTAGGGGTGGAAATCAAGGACGAAAGCATTGCTAATGTGATTCGCACTTTGGGGACTGCGGTGCAACAGGATAAAGGGTGTCTGCTAATTCTTGTTTACGAGTATGACCAGCCGGTCTGTGAGGATCTGTTGCAATTGATTCCGCTTCACGGGGAGAGGCTCTACGAACGAATCCAACAACAGATCAAGTTGTGCTTTTCGGAGTATTTTGCATTCTTCCGGTCGGTCAAGGTTCTACTGGAGGAGGTATCCCATGCCAAAATTTGGCTCACAGGCATCACGCCCATTGGTATAAGAGAAATGAGTGGGCTCAACATTGAAGATTTAATGTACCAGGCACACATGGTGGACGCTGTTGGACTTACAGAGGTGGATGTGGAGCGCATGCTGCAGGATGCCTACGCGCATGCGCCCTTCAAGGAGGGAGAGCTGGAGCTGGCGAGCGAAGACTTCGCTCAAGCGCAACTTCAAAAACCTTCGGTTTCCACAGAGTCAGTCTCTGTATCACGCCGGACTTGTCAATCACATGATGAATATCTTGCTGGATCCAACAAAGGAAACGAAATGACGAGAATTCTTATCCACTGGTAAGGTGCCAGAGGGTTTGGCGCGGGAGCCGGTTCCGTCGTCGCTGTTCAACGTCTTGTGCAATGCCAAGAACCTACACCCAGTGGCAAACAAATTGGCTAATGGGGAGACAGTTTAAGGACCGAGATATAAGATCAAGGAGCAGTTGAGTTTGGAGAATCTCTTGCAAGAAACGATCCCTATGAATTCCAGTTAGGAACTCAGCTGGTAGGTGCACAAGAGCTGGGATGGAGAGCCCTGTTTGGTGGAGATCTCCTTCCACTGGCGCTGGAAGGGCCAGCCACAAGGCTGGCAGCCAATGCTATTCAATCACTGTGGAAGCAATGATTGAACAGTCTAATTGCTCAATACCCTGGCACTGCCATACAGATCCTGTCTACTGCAGACTCTACTTGTGCTGTTGGGTCTGTCTCTAGGTCAACTATCCTTTCATACTTCTTCTTCTTTAAACTATAATATGAACACAAACTCTGATTTGCGTGAAACTCTCCAGCCATGCAGGATACAGATCCATGCATCTTTTGGCTGGTATATACCAAGCTATCTTTCTAGTAGATAGGTCATGGCTGAGGAACTGCATTCCTTCCTTGCAGAGGAACTCTATGTCCTTACAGCTGTTCCTATCTTGTCTGATGGTGACACAGCTCATTGACTGAAAGAGTGTAAAGATGCAGCAGCGATCTTTCCACCAGACTGGCCAGCACAGCTGCGCCGCACCCAATAATATGGCTCCTATGGCATAATCCATCGCTCCCCACCATTGGGGTCATGGATGGGTGCCAACAAGCTTGCACATCATGGGGCTTCCCTCGATACTTCATGAACTGGGAGCATCTGACTCTCAGTGTGGACTTGGTCGCATACTCAGGGGTTACCAACCCTCTTGAATACATCAAGGTGTCCATTGCTGAGTACCACTTGCACATTGGGAGGGGCATCACATGGCTTGTGATCAACCTCCAGTCGTGTTCAGGAGAGAAAGGGTGCATTGGCATTGTCCATTTGACCGTCAATTGGGATCTCTTCTGGTCTCCCCATACTTGCATCACCTCATTGGCTTAGGAGGTATCTGTCTATTCCCCATAAGGGCCAGTGAAACAATCTGGGCCATAACTGTTATCTGGAGCCCTCAACTGGTAGTTAGGTGACAGTTGTCATCCTATGAGTGGGACTGGTTGTCCTATCATCAATATTGCCTCAGCTAAAGGCAACACCTCGTAGACGTCTCCTCAATTTACCATCTCCTTACATGGGTTCAAAAGAATCCCGTCCAGAGACAGGACTAACTTGGTGCTTGCTTGGGTATGACCGTGCAGGTCCTGTCACATGACATGGCAGTGGCTCATCCCACAGCCATAGCTTGGGTGGGTGTTGCCTGCCCGACTGCTTCACCTTGGCTGAGGTGACACAGTGTAAGTTCTCCCCATCACCGAAAGTGAAGGGAGTGCCATCAGGGCGGGAGGGTGGGAGTCACCAAAACATGTTTTCACAAAACGTTGTACTGGAATACTATCCTGGAGATGACAAGTTTAGCACAAACACTTGTCATACTGGGCCATGTCCTGCGGAAGGTTAGCCCCTATGAGGGTGGCATGCTACCCGCAGCATGGGGGTGCCTGGGTACCTTGGGCTAACCAGTGCGACACAAACACTAGTTGCCCAGGCAAAATCCGTCTTGGACTTGCCTTGAGGGCTGCAGTCACCACATTGCCATCTGGAGGATCTAAGGCGTCCCCGACTGCTGGTCAGCTTCGCTCTTCGGATCCACCAGGTCTGACTCTGGGTTTGACGGTGGGCTTCATCAGGACTCTCTTGTCAGCGACAGAGAGCCTGTACCAAATCTGGCGTCCATTGTGGATAGCTGAGACCAGACTGGTCAGAAGGCGTGGAACTTTACACTGCTCCCCATCACCCTATGTCTCGTCTTGCCAATGTCGGCTATGTTGGCTAGACGTGAGCATCAGTCTCTTCGGTTGATTTCAAAGAATGTGGCGGCATTCAGTAGCACCTCTTGTACCCGTCGTATGTAAACGATCATGATGTCCCTCGCGACATATTCTCTCATGTTCACGGCAGAAATGTCGTTCAAGGTGGGGACACCAGTGAAGGCCCGCTATAAGAACAACTTCTGTATACCATCAGTGAGCCTATCACTGGAGTCTCTTGGCCATCATTGTATCGGGTAACAACTGTGTCAACTTGACAATGAAGTCCACTGCGGAACCTTGCTCCTCTGGGCTGTATTGCACACTAGTCAGCCATGTGAGTGTCTCCACATGATCCAGAGAACCTGCTACTGACAAGTGAGCGTCCTGGACAAGCTCAACGAGAATGGCAAAAGCAGTCAGAGTCATGGAAGTGGGACCTCACGATTACCTTTCCATTGGTGGTCTGCACTGTCTTCTGGAAAACAGCGTAGAACCAATGATTCATTCGTATGAGTTCATCCATGGACTCGGTGCTGCTTGGGACGTAGTCGGCATCAAAGATCTTATAAAACCCTTGACCTCTAGCCATAGTGATAAAGGACTTCATACCACTGGTCGAAGTCCTTGTTGGATTTGAGGGTAGGGTAGGCCGTGGCATCCGGCTTGGCACGAAAGGGCTTGCCTGGAAGGCCTGTGTTGCCACTTCTCCACCACCTCTGGGACTTGGAAGACCACCATTGCCATCAGGGGTGGGAATGAAGGCTGACTTCCTTCTTGGCTTCTCCGGTTGATCAGTAGGTTGGCCGACTGCTTCTTCTTGGCTTCTCCATATCAGTAGGTTGGCTGGCTGGAGGGATGGCTGAGTGTACTGGTGTTTGGATGATGTGGGCCTAATAGGTATGGCTGATAGGCTGCTGAAGACACAGGTTTGTGTAGTTGGGTATCTCACTGAATAGGGTGTTGGTGGGATGCCGTGATGTGATGGTATGATTGGTGTTGGTTGGGGATATACCTCCCCATTGAGGGCCCATACTTGGCTCCCAGCGAACCTCCAGTAGGGGAAGTGGCAACATCGTGGCAACTTTGGCGTTGGATGGATGACCAAGAGGGTCTACTAACATCACCAAAAAGCTCTGTTCCAACATTGCCTGGTTCTGAATCGGTCTCCTAGCCTTAATCTCAGTGGCTAGGCTTGTGTGATAAACCAGGTGTGCAGGGAGTGGAGTATAAGTGGATGGGATGAACCAAGCTGATTGGTATTGTGGCCTTGTGGTGGGGCCAAGGGATGCTTGGTTCATTTGTTTCATTTTCTTCAATGCTATTGCCAGTTGGTGGTCTGATCATTAAAGGGTAACACCTTGGTGGGCTGGTGGGGAAGGAGTCACAATTGGGAGGCCCTGACTGGTAGGCACAGGGGGGTCCACAGGTGTCCTTCCATGGGGTGGAACTGGATGCGGGGGTCCTGCAGTGGTGACCTGTTGGTGTTACCAGTGCTTATTGCTAGATGTGTGGTGTAACACCAATGGCAGGCGGGCCTGTTTTGTTGTTGCTTTCTTCTTCTGGAGCATGGTTGTTGGTGCGCTGGCTGAGTGTGGTGTGGTGTAGAGGTGTTGTTGTAGTAAATCCAAATGTGACTTGAGGTCTGCACTGTGTCAATGACTACATTGAGGTTGCTTGACACTCTGTTACCCTTGGATTGCTTTGAAACCGACTGGAAGGTGTTCCTGTGGTGTTGTGAGTTACTCTGTATCCACACCTCGAATCAACACGTATCTTCAACACGTATCTTCCGAGTTGGGAATTCCGAGGAAAATGTGAGGCGACTCGAGTGTGCCGGCTTGCTTTGGAACAGAGGTACGTTCCAAGTGACGTCTTCTCGTTACCGGTTTTGTGAGTACCGTGTGAGTACCGTTCCCTTGACCGCAGCAGCCTCCGGAGGCACGACTGAGATAATCAGTAGTAGCTTTCCGTACGAAAAATGAAGGATCGACAATGGATGATATTCCGCTATCGGCCGTCGAACTAGCCGATTAACAAGAAACTGGCTGGACTATCCTCTCAAGCACCCTCAGGTTAGTAGGTTACCCTTGGTTTGGTCACTACGGTCCAGTGGTTTGCGTCGTCGCTCGCTGATGTGCTTTCGTCGCGATTTTCTTGTTGTGAATCAGGATGCTTTCCACTCGCCGATCTCGAAAGGTAGGCGACTGGTAGGAAGATAGTCGTTTGTATCTTGTAGAGGATCCTTGGTTATTGGACCATGGGTACCTCCTCAAACGGTCGCGATTCCAGTTTTCGTCGTTCACCGTGTCGCGGTTCAATTTTCGCCTTCCTCTCCTCCTCTCTCTCTCTTCGTCCTCGACGATTTCCACACCTAGCCACTCTTGTGCGTGTCTATGCGACTCTGTTAATCCTATGAATTCCAGGTAGGAACTCAGCTGGTAGGTGCACAAGAGCTGGATGGAGAGCTCTGTTGGTGGAGATCTCCTTCCACTGGCGCTGGAAAAGGCCAGCCCAAGCTGGCAGCCAATGCTATTCAATCACTGTGGAAGCAATGATTGAACAGTCTAATTGCTCAATACCCTGGCACTGGCCATACAGGATCCTGTCTACTGCAGAGCTCTACTTGTGCTGTTGGGTCTGTTCTCAGGTCAACTACTTCTTCATTACTTCTTTAAACTATAATATAAACACAAACTCTGATTTTGCGTGAAACTCCATCCTCCATGCAGGATACAGATCCATGCATCTCTTTTGGCTGGTATATACCAAGCTATCTTTCTAGATAGGTCATGGCTGAGGAACTGCATCATCCCTCCTTGCAGAGGAACTCTATGTCCTCTACAGCTGTTCCTATCTTGTCTGATGGTGACACAGCTCATTGTACTGAAAGAGTGTACAGATGCAGCAGCGATCTTTCCACCAGACTGAGCCAGCACAGCTGCGCCGCACCCATGATATGGCTCCTATGGCATAATCTCATCGTCAGTCATGAGTCGAACTCAAACCCTATCTAGGATCGAGTCGCGAATAAGGCTAAGAGCCGTGTATTGCACCAGCCCTTGATGCTCCTACCACCCTCATCAGGGCAAGTGTTCTTCGGGGGAACAACTCTACCCAACTTCTGCTTAGGAATACTGGTACACACATCACACCAACTCCACCACCTCCCACCGATACCCTTCTGAGTCTCATCACACACCTCCCTCCAGACTTAAAATGGGTTATTGATCATTTCCAAGTCTGACAACGGGTTTGTCCCTGACCCCAACAACCAATCATTTGACTTGACACATGCCCTATGGATGCACATCCAGCAAAGCCATGTGACATTTGAGACGGAACACATCGACGGGCACATGGATGACCATACAGGTCATGAATTGAGCCCCCTTGAAGCTCTCAACGTGCGCATGGACGCCAAAGCCAAAGAGTACTGGACTGATATTGTCAATGCGAACCCATTTGGGTCTCCCTCCCATCACTCCATCGGAGGGGAAGGTTGGTCAATTTGGCATAATCAGCGGAAACTTGCATCACCAAACCGACAAGCGTTGTTGGACCTGATCTGCCTCCCTGGCATTGAAGAATACTGGATCTCAGATCACTATCTTGCCCCTGCAAGACTGTCCCCTGAAGCATTCCAGCTGGTTGACTGGGACGTATGCGGAAGACTGATGAAAACTCTACCGTTGGGCATGCGCAGATGGTGTACCAAACACGCTTATGAGAATTGTGGAGTGGGAATTACCCTCAAGCATTGGCAAAAACAAGACGATGACCATTGCCCACGTTGTGGAGCACCAGAAGACACTACATATGTCCTACTATGTCATGCTGAGGGATTTGATGAAGTATGGAGCGCTCACATGTTAGAGCTGGCTTCTGCTTTTGGGGAGCTTCACACTCCTCCTTGACCTTCACATAGCACTGGTTGACCGCCTCAACAGTTGGTGCAACTCCCTCCCATTGCTCCCCAACCCCCAGTGAGGTGCCACCCTTACTCAACTTATTGTCTCCCAATGCCAGATTGGATGGAAGAACTTCTTGGAAGGTCTACCCTGAATCCGTTTTGTCCAGTATATGGATTCCTTCTACAGACGAGAAGGATACTCCATCACTGGTACCACTTGGACTTCCAAAATCCTTTGCAAAACCCACATGATGGCTTGGAGCTTATGGGAACATCGGAACAAAATTCTACACGACGACCAAAAGCCCCGTCAGAAACAAGCCCTCAACCTGTTACACCAAGCAATCGCCAATGAGCACATCAAAGGTGCCAGGGGACTCCCCTCCTGTTATCACCATTACTTCAAACACTCACTCATTTCCCTTCTCACAAAACCAAAGTCCTACAAACAGTCCTGGCTTCAAGGGCTACACATTGTCCGCGATAGAGAAACTAGACATGCCCACCAAATCACTGAAGATAGAAGGAATTCCAGACTCTATTAGTGGTGTGCCACAGGACGCCTCTAACTTCTTCATCATCTCTCCCTTGAACCACCTCAGAACCAACCCAATCCGTCTTTTCAAAGACACCATTAGCACATGGCCTTAGCGTGCCATACCCCAAGGAAGGCCTTAGCGTGCATTCCCAAAGAAACAACAACCTTGTATGGAACATCTTTAGGGGCCTTAGCGAGCCCATAACCCTTCTACTCGAACAGGGGGCCAGAAGTGCCCCCTGTCATTTTGAGTGAAGTAAAAGAAAGCCCTCGGCGCAGTAGCAAATAATAACTACTAATCATTGTGATCAATCAATCAAAGAGTAACCAGCACTAGCTAGCTAGGTTGCCACCAACCGCAAGATCTGGCCTCAACTGCCAACTGAGACAGGAATTCTTTGATGTAGTGCACTTTAGCTGCAGTTCTGTTGGTGACTTAAATCTTGTTCCGAAAGCTACAATCGTTATTATTTGATTAACCTCGGCAGTCTATCTGCCTGAGCCCTCACCCCCTTTTTTGGTATTTCCTGTTTCCTGCTTCGTGTTTCCTGTTCCGGTGAAGCCAAAATATAGGGATAGAGATAGGCACAAGCCAACTCTACAAATTTAGGGGTAGGAATAAATCATGGTTATTTAAGGTTAGTGCACTCAACACAATAAGCCAGCAGAAGCTACAACAGTTACAGGTACATACGGGAGTGACAGCTGTAAAATTATGGTTAGCGGGCGGCAACACACGAAGTCGGGTGTTGTCGCCAGGGCTACCTTAAATAAAAAGAAGGTTATAATGAGGGAATGATACCGGGCGGCAACACACGACGGCTGTTGTCGCCAGGGCTACCCCGAAAGAAGGGTGCAATCTCAAACATGTCATCCTTCTTCTATCTGTCTTTCTGCCGAGGTATCGCAGCTCCCGCTGACTTATTTATTTGTCGAGGGCTGGCCGTACGGGTACTTGGTACCGGTGGCTACTGTAGTACATGTACTGTGGTCTAATATTAAGGTGGTAACCCACGAGTCTTAAGCCAGCGCAAAACTGTTAAAGATTTTTAATTATTTATTTATTTTTACTAGTGATATCGCGAGGATGGACGTTTTGCGATTCTGGTGCTAAAGGTGTGCTGGAATGCTTGTTGAGCCCATCATTCCCACTATTGAGCATACGGGAGCTGTTGCTAATAGTAGTGGTGAGGTGTAAGAATCGAGCTTTGGCCGATATTTGATCGGCCTGTTATCGCTGTTCGACATGACAGTGGGTGTGTCGATTTTTTGATTCGGCTGCACGAAGCCCTTAGATCTCGATTGCTGCTGCAAGTATGGCCCCACAACCAACTCCTACTCTCTTCCTTACAGTATAAGGAAGAGATAATGCTTTACTTGCAGGGCCATACTACCAGCAGCAACCGAGATAATGAGGTCTCCAACAGTGCGAGTGTTGATCGATCTGTTGTTGTTGTTCTTCCTGTTTGCGTTTTTGAAAGGGAATCTCGCTTTTCCAATCGTTTGAACTGAAATATTACTTGAAACGTGTTATAGTACTGATTTTGTATATATGGCGCAAGCCAGTCTTAGGAGCACTCGAAATTGTGCTGTTTCTCATATGTAACGGCCACTATTTGGCGAGTCGACACGCTCGGTCGATCTTCGTTCGTCACCTTTAATTAGAGGCTTTTCATATTATTTATGGCTCGAACTGGATTAGAGGAATCCGGTGAGTCTACGAACATTGAAGATTCCAGATTCCGTATTTTATACGAAACATATGTGCGAAAGAACGTGGATACGTATGCAGCTTTTAAGCTGGCTTACAGCTCGTGGCTTACCACCTTTAAATAGTGGTCTATTCATTCGAGTTGAAGTAGCTATATTATGACCATCCGAAGCTCCATCCTTGCTTTGCCTGTAAATAGTTTAGTCAAGATCTCCTAAAAGGCTAAAGCATCCAGGAAGGGCAATAATAGATTGACTGACGCAGTTTGTCATCTTCCACAGACACAGCAATGATTTAACAAAAGTCGGTGCACCACAATTCTCCCGCGACTGCACTCCTCACTGAAGGTCACTCTGCTGATATTACTTATTGATCATTTGTCATACGGTACTGCAGATCTCTAGTAAGATGTCGAAATGGCTTAAAGGAGGCTTTACCTGTGATGTCTCTTTGACCATTAAAGCTTCCTGTTGATGAGGCTCTCTACGTATGCTCGTACCAGCACTGTAGTTCACTCTGACTAAGAACGCACCTTAAGCTTGAAGCCTCATCCTCGCCATTACTTATTGCAAATATAGAATTGCAGTGCTCCAGTAACAGTGAATCAAGTCATTGTTAGGGAAACTGACTTATGGGTTTCTAAAAGTGAGGCTTTTCAGTCGTTTGACCATTTTGCCACCTGTTGTATTGTGCAGTGTCCACGTACCTGGTACGTCGTCCTGGTACAAAACCTTGCCACCTAATAATAGGAAGTGCGATGAGAAGAGCATCCTTGAACCTTGCTAGCTAGCTTGATCTTCCATGCGAAAAATGAGCCTGGAGACTTACTTTTCCTGCTCACATTTTTTTAAACAGGGTGAAAGCAACAAACCAACAACTTTTGTTTACTATTCTGTTCTGTTCTGCTTCTCGTCTACCACTAAACACCACCATGACGATGATGATGCCAAAGGAAGATAATAAAACTCGAGTAACTCTGGATGGTGATGACGACGACCATGACGATGACGGCTCTGTCTCGCTGTGTGGTTCCGCGGGAGGAGAAGACGATGCTCTTGCGAAAAAAAAGACCCGCGAGGCCGATCTGGAACGACAACGGTTTGTGGGAAGCAAAGAGACTGTAGCTGTAGCTTGGTTGCGTGTATTGACGTTTGGAGTGTTGCTGGTGACGGCCCTGATTGTGTGCCTTGGTGTGTATTTTTACACGCGCAACGACGAGCAACAGGATTTCGAGTATGTCTTTGAATCGAGTGCCGAACGTGTCATTCAGTCGTTTCATACATCGGTAGCGCGCATCATGGCGGGTGGCGATGCCATGTCGGTGGCCATTACTTCCTATGCATTGGATACGGGTGCCACATTTCCGTTCGTGACCATTCCCAACTTTGAACTGCGAGGTGCCAATACGCGCATCTTGACCAAATCCATTGCTTCCAATTTCTTTCCACTCATTCACGACAAGGATCGACCGGCATGGGAAGACTACGTGACCCGAAAGATCACACAAGACAAGATCCAATTCAAGTCGTTCATGGCCGAAAACCAATACGTGGCGCAGCAAGACAAGTACTTTGGACTCGAGACGGTGCCGTTCAAACCGCCCGCCAACACTCCATTGGCGGGACGAAACTTTTCCAGTCAGCTGGGAATGCTCAAGGGAGGAGTCCAACCCAATGGGACGGGCCCCTACTTGGCGTTCTATCAGACCAGTCCGGTGCTACCGGCTCCGGCTTTACCCAATTTGAACATTTTGACATTTCCTCCCTTGGCGGCTGGCGTCAAGCATGTTCTGGCATCCAATCTGGCGTACTTGTCCAAAGCAGTCGATCCATCCCCCATGTTTCACATGTTCTTGGCACGAGGACAGTACCGACATCAAAAGGAAGCCTTCTTGGGAGATGCCGCCACGCCCTTTATCTATCCCGTCTTTGACAGTTTCCCAAATGCCAACAGCAACAACAATAAGAATCGAACACTGGTCGGTGTCACGCTGTCCAACATTTACTGGCGACTTCACTTTGAAAACATTCTACCACCCAATGCCCGGGGCATTGTGGTGGTCCTATCCAACAATGCCAATCAGACATTTACCTATCAAATCAATGGTGCCGACGTGGACTATCTGGGAAAGGGTGACTTGCATGACGCAGCGTACGACGAGTATGGTGTGTCGGCGGATATCTCGCAGCATTTGCAATCCCACGCCAGTGTGGTCACACAAGCATACACGGCCGTGCCCATTGCCGAAACGGGAGTCCAATACCAACTACACATTTATCCCTCGGCGGAAATGGCGCAACAATACATTAGCAACGAACCTATCCTGTTTGGCTGCGTCGTGGCATTGGTGTTTGTATTCACGTCGATTGTCTTTTTGTTTTACAATCACATGGTGGAACGACGGCAACGAGCAGTGGTGGACAGAGCGGTCAAATCGGCCGCCGTCGTCTCCAACTTGTTTCCAGAACAAATCAAAGAAGAACTCATCAATAATAGTGGTGGTGGTGGTGGTACGAGTAGCACGGCATTGGACGAACCATTCAAACTGCCCGGTGCACGCAAGGAGAAATGGACGGTCTCTCGGCAGCAGCAGCAGCAGTCCATGACAACGCGACCAAAGTTGGCGCAAAAACATCCTCATGTGACGGTACTGTTTGCCGATATCGCGGGGTTTACGAGTTGGAGCAGTGACCGCGATCCAGAGGATGTCTTTGTGTTGCTCGAAACGTTTTGTGAGTTTTATTTCTCTCTCGCTCGATTTGATGAGGACCCGACCGTGCTTGTCTGCAATGCTGACTCTTTATCCTATTCATCCCTACTCCTCCTAGACGCTGCCTTTGATGCTTTGGCGGCCAAGCGAGAGGTGTTCAAAGGTGAGCCATCACACAGATAGTACTGCATTGGTATCTTCTTCACCCAGAAGTCCTTCGAAGACTAACTCCGACTGCACTTGTTCGTTACCATGGATTGCTAAAGTGGAAACCATTGTAAGTTTCAGAGGGCGCACTTTGACACGAGGATATTCGCGAAGTTTGTCCCACTATGCTAACTAACCAAACCAAACCAAACGAAACCACCATCAGGGAGACTGTTATTTAGCCTGTACCGGCATGCCCAATGCCCAACCCGATCACGCCATGCGAATGTGCAAATTTGCCAGGGATTGCTTGCAAAGAGTAAACGTATTGACAGCGAGGTTGGCACCGACACTGGGGCAGGACACGCTGAAGCTTGGGTTCCGTGTTGGACTCCATTCGGTAAGTCTCTTCTCTTCTCTACCTGATGGCTCCTGAAGCTGATGGCTCCTAGCTAGCAAGACAGAACATCCCATGCCCCGCTGACCTTTCTCATGATGTATGTATAGGGGCCTGTGACTGCCGGGGTGCTGAAATCGGACAAGGCCCGCTATCAGATCTTTGGCGACACAGGTAAACATACGAGAATACGGCACGCTGCATGAAAATGCTCATTCTTGATGCATACGTATTGACCAAACAAACTCTTTGCATTCTTTTAAAACAGTGAACACAGCAGCTCGTATGGAGTCAAATGGACTCAAGGGTAAGATACATATGTCTGAAGAAACCTTCAAAGAGCTAGTGGCGCAAGGAAAAGAAAACATTCTCGTGGAACGAGAGGAAAAGATCTTTGCCAAGGGAAAGGGAAACCTCCAGACCTACTTTTTGAGTGATGACTTTGTCAACCAGCGGTCGGCAACGGCAACCTTCTCTCAAACAAGTGGGAACAATAGTGTGGCATTTTTCGGTATTGAAGCGTCTGAGAGAAAGGACATTTCCTCTCGTGGAGATCTTTGGGAGGACGATGATGTACCATACGCAGCGGCCAGTGCTCTTGCAGGAGAAAGCCAAGAAATGGCTGGTGCCATCGCTGTGGCCCAACAGGAAGGTTCGATGCAACAGGAAGGTTCGATGCAGGAGAGTGGCTCTGACTGGCTTTGAACGTGCGTCCCTTGCCCGGAGCAATTTGGGATTAATTACTTTGCCCGGAGCTTGCGCCATGTTTGTTTCGGAGCACAACTAGCACAAGGCTTTCCTTTGACATCACGGTCTACTAGCTAGCTAGCTCTACGAACCTAACCTACTACAGTATAGGGGAGAATCGAATGGAGCGATAGGTTCACGAATTTCCTGATCTTCATTAGCATGGACCACCCAACGCACAACTGCAACACAATGTGAAAGGCGGGACCAGCCCACAGTTTGCATCACAGGATCCATGTATTTGCTCATTGTCAACCCGAAAGTTTCAACAATGGACAAGCGTTCTTCCTCGCCTGTTGTGTACCGTACCGGTACCGCTTCTGAGCATTGGACTATAGAATGCCAAAAGGCTTGCTTTTCTTGCCAGATCACGCCACCTAGATCTAGCTACCGGTAGCAAGCTAGTACCGGTAGAGACCATTACGGTGTAACATTAATGTAGTTATTTCTCTAATAGCAGCATCATGGTCACTCTTCTACAGCCACCACACTTACTACTTATATACTTGTATTAGTAGTATTGTCGTCGTCGTCGTCATTCACTACGGATCCACCCACGCCTTGACGGGGATCTGACTCAAATCCTTGTCCCTTGATGCCTCTGTCTTGACAAAATAATATTGTTTCCGCACTTGATGGGCAGCCCATGCCACCAATGTGGACAGTACGGCGAGTGGGAGTGTTCGTTTGGGAATGGCCCGCAACCACAAAACCCGTGCCATCCAGGCGGCCGTCAATAATAAGCCGGTTCGCGTAATGCGGCGACAGTTGCGTACCAGTCCCTGCGAATCGGGACAAATAGTCAAATGCTGTGTGCGTCGATCCAGTACAATTTCCCGGGCGGGTGTGTGTTGGAGTGCTCCCGCATAATGTAATTGTTGGAGGGTCCGCGCTCGATTGGGTGCTTTATGGAGCGTCGTATCCCAAAAATTGTCAATGAGTCGTACCGTTTTATCAGTGGCACTGCCGTAGGCAAAGAGAGACGCCCGCGGTCGTTCGACACCTTGTGCTTCGGCCGTCAAAATGGGTGGTTGTTGCGACGCCACCAAGACAGTATCTTGATCGAGGAATCGATTGAGATTGACTTGCAATATCCACCGTGGCACTTGAATGGGAACTTGTCCAATGGCAGCAGACATGAATCGACTCTTGCCGGTACCGACGGGACATACCCAAAAGGCGGTAATAAACTTGGTGGAACCGTCCGTGACATTGCGTCGACTCATGGAGACCGTGGTGGGTGCCATGAAATGCGACGTCGCTTGGAGTGTTTCTTCCGGTGGCGTTTCTGGTGTACTTCCAAAACTCGCCGGTTTGGTCTTTTTCGGTGGTTTGGTTTTCATTCCTAGAAATTGTCGTTTGGCGCGATCGACGGCCAGTAACTTGTCGACGGCCGGGACGGATGCCGTGAGTTCCCATCCATTTTGATCAAAATTTTCGGTAATGGTTTGGGGATGATGTGGACTGGCGGTGTAAAAGTCAAAATTGAGATTCTGATGGGCAAATGCGCCATGATCGGGGTCGAGAATATTACTGACAAGCAGTGACCAATCGACCATGGGGAAATCGCGGACGACCCGTGTAATGCGCCATCCGGGCAATTCCATTTCCGGGACACTGGGGGGTGTCTTTGTGGGAATGTTGTCTGTGCCCGGCCACAACCAGACCATGGATTGATGTTCGCAAATGGCAATGGGTTTGGCACATGCGCGTGCTGGAAAGTTTGTTACTGTGGGGTCAGTAGTAACGTCTTGAATGGATTGTGGAATTTGGACACAGTCTCCCGTGGTTCCATTGAACGACCATCCGTGATACGCACACTGGATAAAGCCCGATTCGGTCAAGCGTCCTTCCGAGAGAGCGGCGGCTTTGTGAGGACATTGGTCTCGCAGTGCCGTCCATTGCTGGCGTGTGGAATCGTAGGCAATGACATAGTCGACATCAAACAGTGTCACCTTGGTGGGACGATCGGGCAGAACATCGCATGCCCACGTCACGGGGTACCAGTGTTGGTAGTAATCAAAGGAATCCCAACGACTCTCCTTCTTGTTCGTGGCAGAAGACGCCCTACCGGTACTACTACTAGTACTGCTGGAAGAAGACGACTTGGTCAACTTGAAGGACGGTTTCGCACCAAACATGGTAGAAGTGTCCTTGGTCGATGCCACGGCAGCAACGGTCGATTGCTTTTTCTGCTTGCTGCTGGTAGTAGCACCCAGAGTGGTTGGTATAGAAGTATCCGTATCCGTAGTATTGGCACTGCTGCCCTCCTCTTCTCCTTCTTGGTCCTCACTTGCCGTCATCAGCAGACGCAACGACGACCCAACTCTACTACATGTAGTATGAATGCTTGTAGTCTTGTCATGATGATGATGGAACAGTCGCCTTCTTTGGAATTCAGTAATAGGACGGGTAGTAAAGGCATCGCAGAAAAGCACATGCCACAAAGGCACCCATACCAACGACAAGAGACACACTGGTCGCATCTTCATTCCTAGCTAGACTACCGTAGCGTAACGAATAGAAACAACTAATTGAGTGGAGAAATCCTGTCAGTGTGGTGGATAGCTGATGGCTTCTGATGTAATGTATGTGATGGCAACCAACTGGTGACATCGACTCTCGTCGACACGAAAAGATCCACCCTCAACCAAAGATACAAAGCCTCTGGGCTCAGGAGCTTCGGTGAAAACCAAGCGGCCTTGCTGGCTTTAGATGAACAACAAGGGCGAAAACGACGACGATCGACGTTTTGGGTTCGGAGGAGGAAGCACACCTTCAACAGACTGACAAGGGGGGGCGGGGCCTACAGAATTTAGGGTTCACC